ATATATATATATATATATATATATACATATGTATGCTTGAGATGAAGACTGTGAATTCTCAAAAATCGACAAAAGAGCGTTTGCTCCAAAGACAATAACTATGAGATCAGATGAGAACAAAAGAGGTTATGACGAGACCATTGCTTTACCAGACCGAGACTGATAAATCGTTAGCACGACACGGTAAATAAATACCGACTACAGCAATAGTTGCACTTAAAAGAAACTTGAATGGAACAATATGTTACTCATCTTTTTCGAACTGTTTTGGTCTAAAAATTCATCTTCCTTCGTTCAGTTCACCCAAATAAAGGCAAAGAAAATAGAATGCGTAGTAGTGCTCCTAATATTCGTCCCAATAGAAAACACATACGATTTCCAACACAGTAAAAATGCAATAATTAAACAACATGAGGATACGACCCATATATGACTCATATGTGTACGAAAATAACATACCTTTAGACCTCTAAACAGGCACATTTCTTTGTGGTGGACTTTGTTAATTAAGAGCCGTTTGCATACAAAACACAAACTTTGTTACTCAATCAACAAATTCTGGTTTACTGGAGTCCAGAAGTCCTTCCCTAGGTTTCTCTCCGTTTTTCCCCGTCGAAAGTCTTGTTTTGTGAGTTGCATAAAACAAAACTTTTCGCAGCATTGAGATTGCTAGTGCTTTTCTAGGAATTTCAAGTTCTAAATTTGAATTTAAATCCAACTGTTGTAGAGCGAACTAGCTATTTCGCGAATGTGTTCAATTGGAATTAGCTAAAACACGTCTGTGCCTAACCGAAATTGAATATCGACGATTTGTCCGAACTACTTGCCCCTGAATGATTTCTAGATGGTCTCGACATTTAAATATTACCGGGTCAAACAAATTTGGATAATTTCCAATTTCCATACAAATCGTATATCTTCCAGATTTCATCACAAGTGAAGCTGACCTACACTGGGAGGCTCTCGGGACTTCTACATAAGGCGATAATTCTACACCATGTATTTCACAAAGTTGGCCATCGAGAACATTCAGGAGAATGGTATAGGGCTTTATCACTCTAAAGTGTAGTTGACACCAATGCTCACTTCGGGTACTACCTTACTCAATTCATAGTATACTAAATTCTCTATTTAATACTGATAATGTGCGTTTAAGTGTAATACATTGCATCGTCGATAAAATTTACAATATTTATACTTTCTGTATGAATCACATGCGATCGTAAATTATAACCTTAACTGTATATTGTAAACTATAGATTGCGAGACTCATATTCACAAAAAAAAGGAGCGAATTGGATAGGCAACACGAGGGCCTGACCATGTTAGCACTTACTAATAATGCATTCAGCATGGTAGACGGTGAGAGAAATTGGTAGAGATCGAAACACCACCTACTCAATTCGGCACACAAATAAATTACTATTTTCTCAACGCACAAAGGTATCCCTATGAGTGCGTGCGAATAAAAGACTCACTAATGGTCCGGAAGTGGACAGCAGCTATTGAAAACATATTATATAAATTCCACTAAACACTAAAGATTAGAGAATAACGAGGAAAAGTGTGTATAGACTACGATGCAACTGATGGTCGGTGGCGACAGATTAATAAGAAAGTGGAAAAATGTCTTAGAATACCCAAATTTACTAGGATGTCTCGTGTCGCTCAAACGACACGAGACGGGAATTCAACCGATGGTTAAAATAATATGATGATTAACATTTGAATACATCAACGAAAACAGTGGAGTGAACTGTGACTAGTAGACCCTTATATCGCGAGAGCCAGAATGAATAAAACAAGTAGCACCTTATCAATAACATAAAGAATACAACAGATTGTCCGCACCAAAAGATAGGAGCGAAATCGGAGCACATGAGGATTGAGCAGCAACGGACCGGCCGTGATGAGGATAGGAAGGGCAGATGGCGGTGAGAAAAACGGCACGCACTGCTGCGGGCACAAGGAGACACTGAGAGAGTGGTGGCAAATCCAATTTCATTGCTTTGGCTACAACGCATTAAATGAGCACATCAGTAAGACAAATATTGTTTAAATACGTAAACATATTCAAAGACACTACATATTCAAAGACACTGATAAGTAAAAATATATGACCATATATGGCCGATCTGATTCCAAAAGAACTTAGAATAGAAAGACAAGTAAAGACACGAATTCATCAAGTTAGAATACTGTGTCTAAGAATTTCCTGACTGAAAGCCAAAACCAAGGTGAGACCAATTCATTGATGGAAGTCGACTTTTTCATCATTTCTCTTCATTCAACATATTGAGATCATTTCTCTAAGACATTGAATTACTAGAGTTACCTCAATACTCTCTCCTACATTAGACATTTTACAAAATGAATTATTACATAACCAAAAACTAGATAGCTCAAACAATGCATGTACCTGAATCTGCTGTTGTTTTATCATTTGTTGCTGACGTGCCATAGTTGCTTGAAAATTTGATGCCGCAGCTTGCACATGACTCGTTGCCACCCCTGTTCGTCTTCGTGAACCTTAACACACTAATAATTCAATAAAGCACAGAAAACTTCAATTCAAAGATCCACCTACATAAGAAAGTGCATTCAACGGCATGTAAAAGCGAAAATGAGAGGAAACCTGGTGTTCTATGAAACCATATTAGTTATATTTCGAAAAATTTCCATTTTAAGCATATTTGAAAACAAAACAGCTGAAACTCTGTAAATAAAGTGAAATTTCAGAGTGTAGTACCTACCATCAACAATAAAGGGTTCCTCATCGTCACGTGGACTTGCCTCTTTACTTAAATCAGTTTTACGCCGATTCTTTCGAGGTATTTTAGCCTGAAATATCCATTCTTTCGTCAAGTTTTTACAAGTTTCAGTAAAAACTGGAGCACGGGAATGCCTTCAGCTGCAGAGATTTTACACATACATGTCGAAATCTTCTTTTCATTACAAGAACCAACATTGAGGGGATACGATGAACCACGATATAAGCTCGCATCATTTGACGTACCAGTAAGTGGCCGCCTAATATCAGTATTGGTAAGTGCCTAGTTAAAATAACTCAAGCATACCATCAATGCAAGAAATCACGTGTGGAACGTTAATGAAAATAGAGATGATATGGAATAAAAATACCACGACACTACCTCTTCATTCAAGAAAAGGACTGTAACACATGTCACACTGAAGAACAACGATGTGAGAACCAAACACATCACCAATATTAGATACTCAACTTATATTCCCTCTCACCGCGCTCTACGAGAAATACCAAAATTTACACAGACAAAATTGGATTATATTGAAGCTTCTTCACAGAAATCGAAGCCAGTACTGACTTTCCCTAACGTCGGCACTGAGCTGCAGTAGATAATTTTAGTTATTAGCCTGTGAAACAAAGGAAAAAACAGAATAACAGTTTTCGACCAGTATACTGAAAACGACTTGAGTCAGACACCACTCACACATTGCTCACGTTCCAAACAACCGAACGGCATCAGTAGTGAGCGTATGACTCATCTTTCCACTGCTATGCCGCACAGTTCTTTTGATAAACTTTTTGCATTGATTTGACAGTTTATTTAAATGAGGTGGTGTGGCGGATATCGACCAAGAAATGCCCTACTCTACACTTAGAAACTTACAAAAACTGTTCTTAAAAACTTCGTTCGTTTTATTTAAACCCCACTGAAAGTATAAACATCTATGCTGCACTAGTAAAAAAAACAGTTCGAAACTAGCTACAACACAGTAAATTACTGAGGAAATTTCGGTTTAACTAAACGTACTGTCAAGGCATTTATGCATGCACAGACTGCACCTTCAACAATGTGTATAGCACATCTTTGGTGAAAAGACAACATATTCTCAATTCTTATTCTCACAGTCACGCCACGCGAATGGTGTAATTTGTATTGCAACAAATGATCCTCATTATTAACACTTTTTATGAACTAGCTACAACAATCACAATCCCCAACCTCTCCAGTGTATACCTCCTATACAAAGTTTACAGAATTAGAGCCATTACAATTCTGCTAGACTCACGGCTTGCATTAAAGAAGTACTGGCTCTGTTGATCAAACCAAGAGCAATTGACCCATCCAAAACTAATTAGCACCGAAGATTTAACAATCATGAACCACTACGCCCTCTGATCTCTCATCGCTGCACCATTATCAACAGCAAAAACCATGGAGGAGACGATTTACCAAGAACATGTAAGCTCTTTTATTCAAACAAAATGAAAGCGTTTTTCTTTCTTTTCATCGAGGCTCATAATTTCACCAGCGAAGTGACACGCGGACTGTTAATGACTGCTCTGATGTGTTAAAAACTTCTTGGTGCATTAACAGGGACATCAGAGTTTGACAGCGCGCTGGGCCAACCATGCCTGTAATCCCCACGGATTTGGCAGCATATCACCATATTTGTACGTGAAAGTCTCGCTTTGATCCATAAAAGGACTGGCAAACGCTAAACTTGGCCTACCCTGCGATTCCGGAGCGCGTTAGTTCGACTATCAGGTAGCAAAATTCCTAAGCTTTTTCATCCACGAACGTAATTGAACTTTTGCGTGTGGTTGGCTGTTGCTCGAGGATTTCATCATTCGTTATGTCTCTGAACGCTGGTAGAGTCATTTCCGCTGTAGTTCTGGGAAAGCCGTGATAAAACGCATGTGAATTGCACGGAGTTAGTTGACCTCAGACAAGTTTCGCACCAATTTTCCAGTTCTGAGGGATAGGTTTGGTGAGCCGGATGAAGTCGAACCAGCACTTTGCTCGTAATTTGGCATCACTAATACTGCGCTACCCATTTCCTCCTTGTGGACTACAGATGCAAAAAGAATAACACGAAATAAAGGTTCTAGGAGCCACACAATAATGTACCAAGATAGTTTGCTTATGCATATATATATATGTACATATACGTGTACATATATTTTCATCAGGAAGCCTACCTAAGGGTAAACCAATACCAGGATCCACCACCGTCTTGGTATCAAAGTCGCACGGCGGTAAATCTCCCTGTGATCCACAAAGATTACGGCTGCTTGTCGTGGTGACGACCTGGGGCAGACTTTGGCCAGGCTGTCCTCGGGATTCCAGAGAACCACAAAGACTTAAACAGCAAATTTCCACAAAAATGGTCACTGTGCTGGGGTCCGCACAACTGGTAAGGACAGGCCGTTCAAGTATCAAGTACATAAATGCATATATATGTATATATATACATATATATATATATGTATATATACACATATACATATATATGTATGTATGTGTGTACATGTATGTATATACACATATAAACGCACATGTATGTATATGTATATATATGCATTTACAAACACATGTATATACATAGAGGTGCCAGATATCACAATGGTAGTGATGCCGATCATCACGAGCACGACCCTGGCTCGATTCCACCTCGGACGCGACAAGCCTCCCATTACTCCGGGGTCAGGAGATCGGTATCGGACTTGGTCTGGAAAAAAACCACTCTCTGCAACTCAGTTTAGAACGCTCTAGTCCAGCTATCTCAGGGTTCTGGAAAGAATTCACTGGAGCAGCATTTAACGACCATTCATGATGAAAGGAAAATCTTCTAGCAGCATAAGAAGCCATTTGCAAAAAGCATTCAGTCCTTCGCGGATGATGGGTGTGCGAAAACGAATAGAATATGTGAATTGCTAGGATTTGAAGAGTAGATGTGGAAGATACGTCGCATAAAAAAATATGTACATGCATATATATGTGAACTATATGTATATATACATATACATGTAGATATACACATATATAAATATAAGTATATATTCCAGTCATGGCAACCTCTACCATAGCTTAGTCTTCAAGGCACTCTAGTTACCAATCAAATATTTAAAAACAAAAAAGTCATATTGGCATGTTTGGTACAATATTATCGCTAAAGAGAGCAACAAATTCTTATATACAATATGCTGGAAATTATGTGTTCGAAGCAGCTAATCGATGCGTTTAGTCATACATAGTATTTACTAAACACTTACTTTCTGTTCAGCAGCTGCCTTTTGGCTCTCACCTTGCGCCACAACCTGAAAAATTATTTGTTTGAATATCTTATCAATAATGTTGAAAATCAATGTCATTATTGAAATATTATCTTTGAACTTTGATAATACCTTTTTAACCAGCTCAGCGATTCGTTCGTCTTCAGCAGAATCGGGGTGTTGCGGACGACGTGTACCGTTGGGTAGACCCGACTAAATTTTTAAACAAATACTGTAATAAAACATGAGGTGCAAAATGATGGGCAATTAAAACTAAGCAAAAGTGGAGGCCACACCTGATCGTGACCATTGACAAGTCTCCCTGGACCATTTTCACCTATTTTGGTTACTCCTGCACGCCCATGAAAGATTTGAGCCCGTGCATTATGCTCAAGCGAAAGGTTACCTAAAATGGATACAATGAAACACTTTTTCAGCATTTTCTCTGTTTGGTTATGGAGATATTTGGCCGTGTAGATTGTTGTCAATTTGACCTTTCCAGGCTCTGAGGAAGGCGAAATCCTCCGAAACGTCAGTTTGTACATAAATAAAGAAATGAAATAACACCTCGTATTTGCTGAACAGAAGTAGAAAGAATAATACAATGAAACACTGTTAACCGAGAAAACTGCTAGTAATAGAATATGCGCACGTGATTCGGTCAATAAAAAGGTCCCATGGATTAAAGCCTTATCGTAGATGGGATGTTAATTGTTTGGAACTGAGTTTTGATCAGTAACAGAATCTCATCTTTTTAATGAGATAGTTTAAGATGAAAAGGGTTTCGACTTCTTTTGGAAATCCTAGAAAACAGTAAACCAATGACAGAAATCGTCAAGGTACCGAAAGAAAAAATCTGCAAGGTCCTCTGCAAAATCTGCAACTCCTTGATTGAAATTTTTGAGTGCCAAAAAAAATTTTTACCTTCTTTACCCCCTCTGAGCCAACAAATCCTTCCATGCTCCAGGAATCAGGAAACTGGTATCGAACCTTTCTTAGATCAGTTCGCTCCATTTAATCTACAAAAACTGATGCCGGCTTAGGGTTAAAGCCGTGGCACAGCTGTACCCAAAAAGAATCCACTGTACCGCGGTGTCTATAAAGAAGGCCAAAAATCCCCAAGCAGCAGCCGTACACACAAATCTGAAGACAATCAAGGATGATGGAGACGAGGAAACGAATTGAATTCAAAAAGTACTAGGAACCGTATAACGTCGCGCTATGTAAAATAGAAATAAACCAATTAATATGTATTTCCGACACCACAGCTGTAGAGCACCTTAAAGCTTATTCCATTCCTAACAAGCAGGCATGTAAAATTTCCCATGTACCTAATAATTGCTCTACTAATTTACGTTAGCTAAAATCATGCTCTCAAATCACAAAAGCTGCGTTTTACTCCATGAGTCCATACTATACAAAAAGCAACGGCAAAAATATGGAGTATATAAATATGACCAAAGCATAGAATAAGAAAAGTTCCAAGCGAAAAATTAATGGACGGGTCGTAAAGTTCCGTAGTTGGAACATGAGTCATCAAAACGACAAACGTCGTACGCGCCTACCAGGAAATGTGATAATTACTAGAACGAAGCGTGGCAGAAAAATTGTGGTTACAAGATTTTCCTGTGCTTTTGTTTACTGAAGAAAAGGAAGATACCATTTTCTTGAAAGACTCAACCGCCGTGATTCGTGTCGATCGTCCACTCCGAAGAAGGCAAAGGCATCAAAACGTAAGCCAAATAAAACCTTTGTAACAATCTCATGTAAGCTAAATCTTTCCAAAAAAAAAAACGCCATTTCGCTGCTGTTTTGTGATTTTCGAAAAAAGAAATAGAAGCGAGGATGGAATGAGATAAAGATCTTAAACTTTTCTAAAGTCGAGCTCGCATCTAAAGACGATTATGAGAAATTTCTCCGCTTTCCGTTCAGAGAATCGATACCGTCATTATACCATTTGGCAAAAGCAAAGAATTACTGCCAAACAATGTTTGAAATCTCATAAAAATTTTGGCGCATGGCCCCAAAGAGGACTTCAAGGAAAAATCCACTCTTTTTGAGAAACAATAGCTCTACACCTTGCACAGATACTCCTAAACTACTAACCATTCCTTATCCAACGAACTCAATTTCCAGCTAATTAACTACCAATTCTTCAAACATCTCAACAACTACCAGTCAGAAAAATTTTCAACAAACAAGCCATAACGTAGATCTACCTTCCATTACTTCATCGCTTTTGGAACTTCAAGATGTCAAGTTATCTTATTTACTTGGATGGTTCATCCAAACTGGTTGTGCAGGCCCCAGAATATTTTCCTTGTTTTCGAGTTTTGCTGGTTTAACCACTGCGTTTCCCTGGAGTCCCGAGATCAGCCTAGTCAAAAGTTTGCTACAGGTCATCACTGTTACATGCAGCCTTTCTGTATCAGAGGAAAATTTGCCACCATGCGACCAGTTTCATATCAGGGCAGTGCTGGATCCTGGTATTGGTTTACTCTTAGCTGGATTTCCTGATGGAAACACTGGACTCAGCTTGAGAGACCCTGTCGGGGATGAATGTCCCGCTGTAGATCGCAGCCGACACCCAAGAACAGCTCCCAGCTACGATGAGGCGGTAAACCGTCGGAAGGCTTTGTGTTATCGGAACAAATAGGATTGCACTTTATTAGTAAAAACTCTAACGGTTTCTATCTTGAATAATAACACTGTGTTTGAGTAGAACTACAGCGTTTCCAAATTGTCTCCCAAAATCCGCTAATTTTTCCCCACTAGACCAATTCTACCTAAGTGGAAATTGCGAAACGAACGCAGTGAAGTAGGAGAATCGATAACACAAGTAGTCAAGTAAACAGGTAAAACGCCCATCCACGAATTATCCGAAAAGAATGATAAACATATTCACCGGAAGACGGAGATGTTGCCAACGGAGCCATCATATGAACCGGCACCGATATTTGTCCTGGAGTTATCATGTGATGAGAGCCACCGATTGCATATCGTTGATCTGGAACCATTATAGTAAATGGATACCAATAAAGGAAAAAAATCTTTGTTTGGAGAACCAGAAGCAACCATACTATTTGCGACTCTATAATAACATTGCTTCTCCTAAATCTGTTAAAGTTGTCCCTTAAAGTTTCAACGTCGTATTTTTGATTAGACAAAGAATTGAAAGCAAAATAATTTGAATAAAAGCAAAACTCATGCATACAAACCCATAATAACATAGGACAACTGATTGGTGCAACGAAATCAAAATAAGAAACTGAAATCTCTTTTACTACATAACGATCAATGATCAAAACAAAGCAGAAACTCTTGCATATGACTAATACAAAAACAAAAAAACGAAGCTTTCAGTGTTGATCAATCCCTGAGGGATGCACCATGCAATCCATTTCATAAAGCATCGTCGGAGGTAACTGGAATGCATATCTAGTCTTTACAATGACTTGCGGTGGCCTACCGATGTATCGAGCCAGTGCTGCTATCCTCCCAGACAAGTTTGGTATTAATTCGTCGACCTCGAAGGGAAGGAAGGCTTGGTGAGCCTAGGGCGCGGTGATAGATCCCATGTGTATTGCGGGGCGTCTCCGACCACTGCGCTACTTGCACCCTTCTAGTTAATAGGTTCTAAAAAATTACCAGTCATTAGATGTTGTTGCTGCCCTGCTACGGCGACGATGTTAGCAGCCATTTGTGCATTACTTGGCCGGCGTTTTATGGAGGTGATAGGTGCACTAACTGCAACCGCATGTGTACCGGTCTGAGATATAGCAGGAGCAACACAAACGGACGGAGGCGCGCCACTCTTTGAGACCATTTCTACCACAGACGCAATTGATGAGTCTATAAAAAACCGATGAACCGTCAAAGCAAACTGCACACAATAGAAAGAACGTTTAAAAAAATTCACCTATACGGTCTCCATTTGATGCCGAAGATGGTCCACAATGTGGCGGATCGATAGATGGTGATTCTGTTATATGAGGACAAAGAGTTCCGAGACCATCACTACCTTGTGAATTCCCTGTCAGGTCATCCAACAATCCAGCACCCAAATCAACCATTGGCTCAATGTCATCCAAATCACCCAGATCACACACTGAAATAGAACATAAAACTAGGAATAGAACCATCATAATGCTGAGAAATTTGCAGAACTCCGAACTCCATATAGTACTTTGCCGTGAGGAATTGTAGTAGGCAGCAAATAAAAAGTTAACACTAGGAATAAGTTTCTCACGAAAACCACACTTACAATGGTCATCTTGTCCCGTGAACAATTTATCTACAGGATGTTCAACGTCTTCAACACTTTGCTGACCACCGGTTTGAGGTTGTTGACTTCCATACGAAGAATTACCGAACATGCTTCCTTGCGAGTCTGCTCGGGACATAGGTGTACTACTATGGCGCTAGAATTCAATAAAACTCATGAACAATAATCTTCTCCAAGCAAACCATTTTTCTAACTAAAAAACCATTAAGAAACCTTGTTTCTAACGACCTTTGCTTTTCAGTTTCACACATCAAGTTTGTTTTCATTTTCCCGTAAATCTGTAACTTTTCTCTATTGTTTTGTGAGCTTCACCCTAAGAGACATTTCATACATGAAAGTAATAAACCTTCCAACCTTTCGCCACAAAGATTTATATTTAGTGAACAACATAAAAACGAATTCCCTATAATATGACATTCACATCTCTTGATGTGCTTTCATAGAATCTATTGCATTGCTTTCGCCGATGTAATTCGATGCAAATTATGTGTTTGCATAAACTTTGGGGGATTTTTAAATGTAGGGGATTTAACATGTGAGAATTCAGTTCGACAAGAATTTTTTTTGCGTGTTTCGTGCTCTCGACTGAAAAGTTCCAAGCAGTGGGGCCCTACCAGTTTTTAGGGAAATCCTCAATATTTTTTCTCACCTTTTTGAAGTCACACCTTCAAATAACAGTAACAAAACAAAAAACTGACAGCTGTTTAGATCGCTATGCTTTCCTGGTTTGTTTCTCGTAAACATTTTTTTCCTGTGGTCATGATCTAACAAACGGTGTATATATTCACGTATGTATACGCATATAAATACATGTACCTATACGCATATATGTACATTATATGTATATATATATATATATATGTACGTGCATAAATTGGACGCTTTGGAATAGTGCGCATGATAGATGCTACAGCAACTTAATACCCATGCTCAAGGTAGAACTCAACGACACGTCACTGTACAAAAAGTTTATATGCACAAGAAAAATAAACGATACTTTCTTACAAACGCAAATATTTACTGAATGATATGTACATGGCAGTTCGAAAGTTAGTCCAAGAAGAAAAACTATTTTCTTTTTTTAGTTGAAACAACCACTAACCATCACCATCCCTTGATGACTACCAGGATTGAACTGATGTGGCGTTGCCGGTGATGCACCATCACGGGAAAACTCTCCTGAACCGGATGTTCGTTGAGAAACAGTGGGGTGCACTGAGTCAGGACCACTGTGCATTCCATCTAGAAAAGAGGTAAAGTGTAGAAAATGGTTGAAAGAAACACAAGGAAGTGAGGATTACCACTAACACAAAGTATACGTTAAGAACTATACGCCTACCCAGTGGCGTCGGATATGGGACAGGAGGACCACGTTGCGCAGGCCACGACTGCCCACCGTGTGCTGAATTAGGTCCAGGCGCTTGAACATGTTGCTGCTGATACATCATTCGTTGCTGCATCTACACATCGTAGTATTTGGAAACACCATAACACAAAAAAATCTAGCTTTTCAAGATGACCGCTTTTGAAAGCACCTGGTGATGCCAAATATGTTGTTGTTGCTGTTGTTGTTGTTGGTGCTGCTGTTGTTGAATTTGTTGTTGACCAGAACCTTGAGGATATCCAGGGTATTGCGCGGGTACACCAGATATTCCTCCTGGATTTGCCGGAAAAGCCGTGCTAGGTGGATACGCAGAATGAGCCATGATTTGCATCCCGCTGGGCTAAAAAATTGAAAAATCATTAAGGCTCTCGAATTAAGAAAGATAGAACTCAAATGCGCACCGCCATAGCAGCAGGATGCATCATGCGTTCGGTGTAAAACTGTTGCTGTTGCTGAGCTTGAACCGCTGCATTTTGTTGTTGCTGAGCAGCGGCGGCCAATTCAGCTTCCTTTTGTTGTTGTTTTTTGGTTGGCTTCCTCTTTTTTTTAGGAGGAGGAGGCTGAACAGTTTCCTGAACAAAAAGAATTACTGAGATGTACCAGAACGCAGCAGAAATTACCTATACGACTTCTCATATATGACACTACTAAATATCACCACGTACCTCAACAGGAGGTCCACGAAACTGCGCAGATGCAACAGGAGACGAAATCGGCAAACTATTTGACTTTAAGTGAGCAGGATAACTTTGAATGCGTTGTTGTTGAATATTTACAGGGACTTGTTGAGGCAACTGTGGCTGTCCAGCAAACATAGGGCTTTGCGTGGTGGCATATCCCTGAAACCACAATTTGACGACTACATTATAGTATATATCACATAAAATAAATATATAAAATGCCGCATGATGCGAATTTTAATCGGGATTACCGTCCTGCAAAGGCGTACGGAGTACCAATAACTTCCAGTAAACACTGAACACTTTCCCATTAAACAGTTGCAGGACCATACTTTGAAACTCCGCAGAATGAGTTGGTATAACATATTTTCTTCAGGCTCGGAGGCCACAACGCAATGAGAACTTTTCACGAGGTTTAGTCTCTTTTGGAAGGAATCATTTATGTTATACCCTTTTATTTTCTGCCTACTATAATTTCGCGGCAGGGTACCAAGCGAAATACAACCACAACGTTGCTGAGATATTTGCATAACTCTGGACCGCAGGTGTTTATGGTGGGAACGCACGCGCTATTGTCCTTTCCGGGGAGTAACGCGTTCACCACCACACCATGCGGGTCCTTTGTTCGTTCCCCACCATAGACACCTGCGGTCCAGAGTTTTGCTAATATCTCAGCAACGTTGTGGAACCATTTGTTCTTAAAGGCGCCAGGAAAGTTAATTTAACTTAACTTTTTCATTCTTAACTTGCTCTTGCTATTGACACATGTTAAAACATACGGTAATGTAACTTTTTTTCTCTAAATAGTGCAAGAATTTTAAGGTTCCCAGTTTTCGAAACTTATTGGGGGATGCAAGAAATAATAGCTTCGTACAAAATTCCCTTCAAGATTATAAAAAGTTAGCTTACTTAACAAAATCAGAATGATATGGACTGGTTCGAACTCTGAAGCGGCTGGAAATTGCTCATCCGTGCAACTTTCACCAGACGTATTTAAGCCCATATAGAATGTCAATTAAAATAGATAAAACCATAGAAATGTTCAGATCTCGGTCAATAGGATAAAATTTCCCTGTGCTACCATAAACAATGAGGTTTGGAAAGTCGACAACTTTCAGTAATTTTTAGACAATTAAAGCACATGAGGAACTCAAGAGTTAATACGATTTCCAGAATGGCGTTTGTAGCACCAAATATGTAAATAATCTATTAAAAATGTTGTTTTCAAACTTCAAAATTAACAAAAAAGTGGGAAAATGAATGGAGTCTCCAAAATATTTAAAGCGCACTAAGTACAGCGATGCGAAAAACCACAATGGTCGAGAATAGGTGAACTTCAGCAAACATTGAATGACCATACCACTGCTGGTCTCTGCTGAGGTGGAGTTGATTGAACAGGTGCAGGAGAATTGTAGAAACCTCCAGATGCGAGAGGGACTTGTGCTGCTTGCCCTTGTACCTGTCCAGGATGTTGTTGAGCTTGGGCAGCCGCTACAGCTGCAGCGTGGGCTTGTTGTTGTTGCATCATCATCCTTTGACGTTGCTCCATTTGAATCTAAATATGCCTACGGTGACAAAAAACAACTTTGTGAAGTTCACCCTAACACTCTCGCAACGAGCGACACCAGTAGGTGTCACAATAGCTTTGAGGGAGTGGCGTGTAAGACACATACTGGGCTCATTTTTTCGGTGGTTTATTTTAAAATACAAAACTATTCCCTAATATTTTTGCTATCAACTGATATCTTATAGAACACAGATGCTGTGTTGCGCGTTGGTCAGGAAAGCCCCTAATTCGTATTTGGAAACACAAAAAAAATATACGTTTCACAGCTATACGTACGTTTATATGCATGCATACGTATGTATACATATATTTATATGTACAAAACTATTTGGATTCCAATTGTTATGGTGAATGATTGTTATCGTAGAAAGTGCCAATATAAAGAAAAGACGAACAGAAATCCATAACTCGAAAAACACTTTTCCATGCTGACAATAACGTGATTTTATAATGGACCATAACAAAATATAGTAAATAGCATCGTGAATATCATCCACACCCGTAGAACGATAGAGTAGAACCCAACCATTCAAACTTCCAACCCATGAAGCTCTCTAGTTGTCGAAAAATGAATCTTCATTTAAAAAAAAACCAGCAAGTCCTTAAAGGGTGAAAAACAGGCGTCGTTGAATCCGCAATAAAAAACCCGTGATTAGGCATCGTCACGAGAATGTTAATTAGTACATCAAGAGCACACGATTTTTAGCGGTCAACAAGTTTTCAAGAAATAATATTTGAATAAAAACGCTTGGAAGAGAGGTATACAAATTCGTTAAGGCTCAAATAAGGAGCAAGTCTTCCATTTCTACAACATTCTCAATGAAAAATAACCTGTTGCTGCATTGCCATATGCTGTTGAGGGTCCATAACAGGTGGGCCAGCGGACTGTGGAACGTTCGATGGATGAGGATGCTGATGAGGCTGAGCATTGCCTGGATACATATATGATCCTGCCGGAGAATATGACTGATGGTGAGGTGGCACATTCGCACCAGATGGCCCACCAACCATGCTTGTTTGCTGTTGTGAACTGAAAACATGCTAACATTTAGAAAAAAATGAATAGTACAATAGCAAATAACTCCAATATGGAAAGTGCAATACCTCAACAAGTTAACTAGCAAAGGACTGTTGTTGTTCACTGGTGGGGGTCTCTGCATTGGATGAGGAGGAACTGCAGGACCAACTTCTTGCGGATGTTGTATTGCATGATATCCAGGTGGCTGACACATTAGTCCGCTAGTTTGTGCACTACTGTGAAGCTGTGATGGAGCAGCAGGAGGACGAGGTTCACTTTAATTGTAGCGTTGAGAACGAGGACAAGAAAAGAAAAAAGTGGTCAAAAAGAAAATTTTGAAGAAAAAGAAAGTAAAAAAAAAACCTTACAATGCAGAACAGAATGACAGCGATTAGGTTACTAACCTAAGAGAACCACCTGCGCGATTTCGCTACATCAGTAAGCGAAAGACATAAAACGATACGTGTTTAAAGAAGGTGTTTCTCATACAATTAAAATTTGGGTTTCGATTTGCTTCTACTGGCATCATGAAAAAATTTGGCTGAATTGATCGCGCATCTTTAACCTTCTCAGGCTCTGAAGAAGGCGAAATCCGCCGAAAGGTCAGCTATTATAACATAGATATCGTAATAGCAGCATCACATCTGCTTATAAAGGAAGCAATAACAAAATATTGGTCACCTTCGTTCGACAGGTTGTTCTGATGCACGCCTTTCCTCCACTTTTAAAAGTTGCACAGGAGGGACGTCGTTCACAGAAACAGCCTCATCATCCCCAACTTTCACTTTCGCCACACCTGGAAACGGTGAGTGTTGAAAAGAAGGATCTTACGTTAATAACAGCTCCCAAAATTTAAATCTTGCCTATACGTCCGAGTGTGTTCGGCTGCTTGTTAGCAATACGCTTTAAGCGCTGCGCGAATTTAGGCGGCAAACGAAAAGTAAGCCGACGACAATGAACAGACGGAATGGACGATGAGGTCATGCTGTGCCGTCGACTTGCATCTGCTTCGAATGGCGCGTTTTCCTCAAATACTCCACTCCCACCACTTGTTGACGCCACAGGTTCTGTGTCTGTAATATGAACAAATGGTCAAGCAGTCCTAACTTTATCACTAAAGGCGATAATCTCTGCAAAGGAGCATGTATACAGACTGAATTAGAAGAAGGTCTATTTCTGTGTAAACTTTAAAGAATCCCTCCGAAATCCACCTGAAGCTCTCGAACAACCACCTAAGTTTGTTACTTGCTGAAATCACTTGGGATTTTAATTCTCTTGTAAAGCCAGCAAAAACCATAAGTTCCATTGCCTTGTAAAGTGTATACGAACTGGAAGAAAAAAAAGCGCAGTAATACAACATGCCGGTAGCTATAGATCAGAAACACTTTCGGTTTCATAGAAACAACACTGAGAAAGTATACGATAAAACGTCAGAGGATTTCTCTACTAACTCTGTTTCTTCAAGCTCTGATTCATGTTTGCTACGAACTGTTTTATTTCACCTTTTGAAAAAAGACCAACGCCAGAGTAATTTTTATGGAACGTTATCATAACCGATCCATAATAAATAAGATTAAAAAAAACCCCCCACGTGACTCTAGGACACATTCACTTACGCGAAAACTCTTCTTTCACATTCACATGAGAGAATGAAGTTGGGAGATCGGCTTCCGCTTCAGGAGAATGCGTAGATTTAGACTGGAGGCGTGAGTTAGTGGACGGATGTCCGACGGCAGAAGCAGAATTGGAGTGCCACGGAGATGCTGACGACGACGACGACGGGTCTAGAGACGACGCGCCCAGCATCAACGCACATCAAGTGCCCTCGGTTATCTGGAAACCCGAGCCTTTAATTCTTCTTCGTGTGAGTTGGAGGAAGAATTTATAAAGAATTAGAACCTAGTAAGAAAAAAAACCACTTATGGTCAGAAAAATATGAAAAAATAACAAATTCCTAATATGTTTCAATCCCATTTCCGTACTAAACCATGGTAAGTCCACTAAATCCCAGTGAGTTTACTACGGCATAACAGTAAGCGGAACGATCCTAACTGAACCAATCCTTTCAGACAGGAAGACAGAAAGAAAACGAAAAAACAAGACAGCATGAAGTCGACATGGAGGTGTTACATAGAGCGCCAGAGACATCCCAATCTTTTATAAAAGGGTTACGATGAAAACGAAACGAATTACTAATGGCAAAATAGTAAAGGAATGCGTTAATAGAATCATAATAGAAGTCCAGGCAGATCAGCACGCTGCCAATAGAAACTAATTGCAAAGAGGTATAGATATTCCTACATTAGGACCTTAGATACTTAAACAATGAATGATTTTTCCACAAAAGAAGCACAATAAATTCACAATACGAAGTTTCTATTCTACCGGTCCACATGGCAATCCGCAACCAATTTAGGTAGGACCATGACAACTTCACGACGGTTAACATGGCCTTATAGAACACATAGGCACACTTCAGTAAAAAAAAAAGCACTAAGACCTTCGACAAGAGGAGATGTTAATATTAAGAAAACGAAACGATGAGAGACACAACACTCGGAACCTTCATGCAAAAAGCAAATTACCTAGGAACAGAACCCGGGCCAATGAACGGGACCAGAAGTGACATGACTGAGGCATACAATGCTATGACCACAATTCCAGCTTAGAACGAAAAAGCCAGGAAGAAAAGCTTAACAGTCCGAGACCGAAACCGAGGTGGACGCCCACGAACGCAGAGGAAAATACGAGCCGCTCGCGTCACCTCGCTCGCCGCGGCGGCGTCGCGGCTGCGCAGCGGCCGGATTGATCCCTGGACTACGTGCACCCTATGGGGAACTGCTCCAGAACAAAGGTGCCGTCGAGGTTGTGTGCTGAGCCGACAATGGGCCTTTCAGTGACTGTTGAGGACACGACCGTTGTGCGATTTATGACGAAAGGGAATTTGGTCGAAAACGGGCTTCAATACTCATGTCTTATGGAGAAAGAATTCCGCACACCTTTAAAGATTCTTTAGATTTCTTTCAAACGAAAAGAAAAAACTAGCCCGGGATATAGATAAGGGACTGCTCATCGATTTCTCCCAGACCACTTTACTTCTGGTACTTGTTCTGACTATAAGTGGTTGAAAGAGTCAGATCTTCTCACTTTCAATATCTTCTCGTAAATGCGAACTAAGAGAACCATCTCTGAAGTATATCCTAGACGTGGTATGTTACACACCTCTTTTATAGGGCAACAAAGAGGAAGGCATTATTTGGTCCTGCGACGAATTACTACCTTTAACTTACATCTACCGTGATTGGTCGAGGTCCTAGACGTCGGTCTTCCCGTTTTAAACTCGCTCTGTCTTTTGTCTCGTGCTAAGTTCTACCATTTCAGTACTCTTACACGGAATCTGACTTAGATATAGTTTCCAATCATGGTGATGAGCAAGCGAAAATTGCCTTGTTCTCAGGATCTGGAGTGCTTTTTCAAATAAATGTGCTGGTTTGCCCTATTTCCTCGCTTTCTGTTCCATACCGTTTACGCAAACGTGGTCCTTAGTGTATCTCAACTTTTTTAAAGTTATTTTTGCATGCAGTTTTCGATATGAAGTACTTGGGAGCGTACCTTCTTGCCACATTGGGAGGCAATCCTTCTCCGTCAGCAAAGGATATACTCACGATCCTAGGTAAGTAACCTACGGAAGTATAATCACAATGTTACTGAGATATTTCCAAAACTCCGGACTGCTGGTGTCTGCGGTAGGGATCGAACACGTTATTACCGTCTCCGGGAGCTAACACGTTGATCACTACACCATGCGAGTCCTTCGTTTCGCCTTTCTTCCAGCCGTATTACGTGGCTATTTTCCTGAATACGTGATTGCGACTTCTTATTCTTTTTTGTCGTTAGTTTCAATTCGAGATCAGATAAAATTGTGGCAACAGGTTAAGGTACATTTATCGTTTCCGTTTTGACATGGTAGCCTTATGTTTCATCGTCGTACTTCTCACTACCAAGTAATTTGGCTCAAAATGTAGTGGGTTTTAACCAGTTCCTCATTTGTATCATTTTTTTGCATCTTGCTGCCCAAAAACACGTTCCTCTTGGAACAGATATCTGCTTATAAACTATGGGACATATATGTATTCTTTCTTGATAAGCTTACACGAGGTTGATAAATATATTTATTTTCGGCTAACGTTTCGACGTCTTCGTCTTCCTCAGAGCCGGTGATCCGAGTCGATGGTCCCTGCTTGTTGTTCGCCTCGACGTTGCGTCTTCGCCTTCGCAGGGACCATCGACTCGGATCACCGGCTCTGAGGAAGACGAAGACGTCGAAACGTTAGCCGAAAATAAATATATTTATCAACCTCGTGTAAGCTTATCAAGAAAGAATACATATTGATTAATCACACCGAGGTTTAGGGAAGGTCGGTTTCGAAATATGGGACATATATTTTTTTATTTTTTATTTCACTTGACCTGTCTTTCTTATACACTGGGAGGATCCCAGCACTGCTTGCATTCCATTCGTTTCCTCGTATCCATTATCCATGAAGGTCTTCGAAGTTTTCAAGCATGGGTTTTGCTGGTGCTTGAGGATTTTCTTTTCATCATGAATGTCGTTGAATGCTGGTCGAGTCTATTCTCCCTGGACCTCTGGGATAGTCGCACTAGGACGACCCCACTTCGATTACAAGGAGAGGACTGCTCCCGGGCAAGTTCAGTAATTTCCACAACCCGAAGAGATGGGAGGCTTGGTAAGCCTAGGGAGGTATCGAACCCACAGCTGTCAACCGTGGAATTAATGTCGATTATTTGGAAGTGGCCAAGAATAAAAGCAATGTGGTAGAATCTATCAAACACCGGTGAATTCGTACAGTTTTCAGTACTGCAAGATGGAACAGTCACATCGATATTTTGCTGGCCGAGGAACGTTGATTTTGTAGATCTTCATCACTATTGCTCATATCAGAGCATGAAACACTCATGACAGGCGATATTTCTATAGATGTTGCTTGGCGGATTCCCTTACTTGGCTTCTGAAACTTAAGAGAGCAAGAGCAGTGGAGCGTTTGCATAGTAATTATAGAATTCCTAGTTATTTCTTACAACTGAAAAATACAGAGTTGTGAATTAATTTTCACAGGTTGGAAGGAAGCTAGGCAGTATCGTAAGATTGTTGAATTGCTTAACATCACGCTGAACAAACTGATCAGAAATGTGCGTTCTTACAATGTAATAATAGATAAAGCATTGAGCATTATGTTTAGGACTGAATGCCTAGGAAGAATGGCTAGCCCTATGAAGGCATGTGAGATCTTAATTTTATGTCCACCAATAGAAAGGCGCAAAAGGCACCACTTGCAAGGTACAAATCAGTTCTGTGTCACTCAAGAGACAGTGTGCATTGCAATCATTGGTTGCTGAGTATGTCATTTTAAACAGAAATATTCCTACGGTGTGGAAATGTACTACACGACGAGGAGATGTACTGTGATGTACGACAGGTACCTGCCATTTCGGAAAAGCTCTCATTCGCTAATATTCACATTTCTGTAGGTTCCACGACAGCCGGGATTTCCACAATTGTTCTACCGACCAGTCAACTAGTGCGGATGTAGAAGACGCCCAAAATGATAGAACTGGTGTTCATTTTAGTGGTATCGCTCTATAATGAGTTCGATACACCCTGGAAGTAGCAACCTACCACGTTCTTGGAAACTACCAAAGGAAGCTAACGTAGAAAATATTATTGCTATTGGTAAACGTCACATTTACTTCGAACGAAGACTATGGTCTGGTCAGAAGAATTCGGCACCGCTTTGGTCATTATTAAACGCGCCCGGGTTGTCTTTCCATAACTTTAATGAAGTACCAGAAAGAGCGTTCTGGATTTTCTCAATGATTATGCTGAACACGTCATATCCGAACGATACCCATATTTGTATTCAGTTGGAAATAGCATCAACATTTCTGGTACGCGTTGTCGTTATAGGAAAGCTTCGAAAACATTTCCAACATATGTCAGGCAACGCTTAAGAAGATCACAAGCGAGTGGAATCTTGTTATACAAAACTGTGGTGGATTATTTGCACAACCATACCACAGCTTTCTCTTACCCATCACCATTTCCATTCGAGATTCGAGATTCGACCAGGCAATGTCATCCCATCATAGCTGATTCGATTGTATATTGTTGTGTTATTCCTGGAAGCTGATATCTAAGCTTTTATGTATACAGAAAGCTAGTTTATCTGATGTACTAAAAGTGAAGGATTACTTTTACAAATGGGCCAAACAACACTTTTAACGACTCTTGAAAACAATCAGCTAAGGGAACAAAATTGAAGGATCTAAGTTTTGCACTGACAAGGAAGAGTAAATGTATTTACAGGAGCTGGTGGTCTTGATTGTGATATGGAAGATGCGACCAAGCTTGTCGATGCATTGGCTGGAAAGTCATTAGATGAAGTAATTGAGGAAGGAAAGAGAAAGCTATCGTCGATGCCGTCCGTTGGCGTCAGTACAGCAGCTGCTGCTCCAAGTGCTGCAGCTGCTCCTTCAAGTGCTCCACAAGGCAAGCTGTCTCAGTCACTAAAATTTCCACTACTTTTACTCGTTTTTATTTCTAGTAATTGTGATATTGCTACCAAATGTTTTGACTTGTTATTACAGTGAAAACAATTATATCATAAGTTTTTGAATATCATTTAAGTGTTAAGTTTAAGTTTATCATTTTCTGAAAAAGTTTTCCATTAACACAATCACGGCGACCTGCACTGATCCCCCAGTTCCTGGGTTTTAATGAAGAGTAGACATCATGCATCGTGCTCAATGCATTTGCTCTTCAGTCATTCCTTTTAACACATTGGGCTTGTTTTTCTATCCAATGCATGACTTATACATGAAAGGTATATCAGTCTTGGTTCGAGGAAAGCTACATCATGCACAGTAATCTACACAGAACTTTTTCTTGTAAGTTAGTTTGTCCTGGACAAGAGACATTTGCATGTGAGGAGAGGACTGATCATAGAGAGTGCTGCCTGTGATAAGGTGCAATAAGGCTTGCTGTACCAGAACGCTAGATCTGGACTCTTATGGATGGATATTGTTCACTAAAATAAGATGCTAAATCTTTGACATTTAGATGTAGTTGTCATCTTCGCATTTAGAAATAATTTTCAGCCTTGTTAATATAGCTTGGTATTTTATTCATTATATTCAAAAAGACAGGGCGCACATAGCGCAGTGTTCGTAGGCGTCTTACGACACACGCATCGGACCGATCCCCGCGATCCACCAAGCCTTCCATCACTCGGGAGTCTGCAAATTGCTACCAGACTTGTCTAGGAGGATAGCAGCACTGACTAGATAAATTGGTAGGCCACCGCGAGTGATTGTAAAGGCCAGATATACATTTAGTCACCTCCAACAATACTTAATAGAGTCGAATGCATGGCGCATCCCTCAGGGACTGACCAACGCCGATAGCTTTAGAGCTTTTTTTATATTCAAAAAGATTAACTCTATGAATTTACGATGTACTAATTTACTACTTTAAATGTGCAGGCAATATTAGCAACCTTTTAAATGGATCCTTTATATGTAATACGGTTGTATACCATTTATGCTGGTCTTCTATGGCATTTCTCCAGATAAAACAGAAGCTCTGTTCCTTTTAAGAAAAATGTAGAAGATCGAGCCTATCCATTTATGTTTCCAACATTTAGAATTATTGTTTTACCCTCCTTTTAAATTCGTACGTGCCTAAAGCTACTTGCACTTTTCAGCTTTTATGCAAACATACTTTTATACAGGGGTTAAGCGTTATTAGTTGAAATTAAGACCATCAGAATGAAGTGGTCCTTAGGAAAAGAGTACAAGTGTTCATATTTCCACTAAGACAGTGTTCCTATCTTTACCAAAATTTGAGTTTTAAACAAATTAAAAGTAAAAAAAATCATGGACCATCGACTCGGATCGTCGGCTCTGAGGAAGACGAAGGCGTCGAAAAGTTAGCCGAAAATAAATATATTTATCAACCTCGTGCAAGCTTATCAAGAAAGAATACAAGTAAAAAAAGCATTTTGTAATAACTATATATGCCAGCAAAGTGCAAGAAGAAGGTCACTTTTAGAAGTAGGTTGATTTCTCAGACCTTCTTGTTCTCTAGTATCGAAATGCTAACAGTAGTACGTGGATCGTGGATACATTGAATCAATTCGGGAACCAGGAAAATTATACGTGTTCCATGACCAAACTAGTCGTCGTCGAGAATGGGTTAAGTAGGCAAGTAGGCTATAAATGTGATTTCTGAATTTCTTCGAAAGAGATAGTCTTTAATTTCTGGGTTTTGAACGTTGTTATAAGCATAATGTTATCTTAAATGCAGATGCTTGTTTTGTTTCATTCAATCTGGCAAAAAACAAGATGTTTGGATCGTCGATGATTTATTTTAGCTGTAACCAAGGAGGAACCGAAAGAAGAATCAGATGAAGATATGGGATTTGGTCTTTTCGACTAATTTGTTTACTTTGTTGTTTTCCACCCGTTTCTAATAAAGTTTGTGTTTTTTGTTTAGATCTGAAAGTTCTTAGCATTTTTAGCATATGTGCATAAAGTACGTTGAAATGGGCTCAGAAATTAAGTTGTGCGTCAATTCAGTGACGATTTGTTAAAATACTGATTAGATTGCGATTAAGAACATAAGTTCTCTAAAGCCTCATCTAGATCCATACGTGGACTTGAAGATATATTATATATGGCGAGATAATACGGAGATAGAAGTCGAGAACAATGATGCAGTATAAAGTGCACGTCATGACAGTTGCGATCTGTACAAGTCTTTAGAACAGATATGACATGTAATCATTACTGTACTGATGCTGTGACCATCTAGCAATTTATAGAGCCACGAAAACATTAATATTTTCCAGAAACCTCTAATGGATGGTGGTAGATATGCTGATTAGATCTGCTAATAAGAGAAGGTTTGTTGACAAAAGCGTTGCATTACTACAGCTCTGTTTAGCAAATATTGTTTCTCGCTATTGAACAAGTTCTGGTATTTTGCATTAGAGTGGAATATAGCAGCAGTTAGTCGGGGACCTCAATCTCCACCACTGAGACGGCAATTTGAGTACCACGGAATCTGACTAGAAGATTGCAAACACTTAGAAATAAAGGGCTGCCACAGGTCCACTACCTACATAGACAATCTTGAAACTGGTCTTGTTTGAGTTTGATCCCATGACCACGTTGCTGTAAACATAGCCACACGACAATAATTTACTTCTAGTACAATCATTTGACAGACAAACTAAATGAATAGCCACAGTAGATAGAGTACCTACACGTCGTTCATTCTCGAAAATGTCAAGTTACATCGAAACAAAACAGGAGGAATGTTAATATTTCTGTTTAGTCACCCGGTTTACGAGAAGACATTTTGGAAAGCGATATGGATATACATGTTGCATGCGAAAAAATTCACAGAAGTTGCTTCCAAAATAGGCCATACGTATCCGTTGAGCTAGTAGGGACAAAATAATCTTGGCTTTAGTGGAAGACAAATGGTGTCATACTTGATATGACTGTGTAAATACTGTTATATGGTCAGGATTAGTGCACCTGGATCTTAAAGGTCCCCTTCGTCTAGTTATTGGTACGACTTTGACTTTCTGACGAGTTCGGTCAGCTTCCTCTCTTTCTTTCTTAATATCGATCTGAAATTTTGTGTGAATATGTCCAAACGACGAGGTTATTGGTAGCAACATCCAAACAATGTCTTACTATGATCTCTTCGAAGTCCTGCTCGGGATGAGTCTGGATGTTATGCAAATCGTCGGCCCTAACTCCATCAACGATCACTATCGGGTCTCCATGGGAGCGTAGTCGGTCACACACTTTCACGACAGGTTCCACCCATTCGACTACCTTTAGTAGTTCGGAATACGAATACCCTGTAATGAAGAGATCAGTTCCTTTGTTATCTATACGGTGACAGGAATTAGAATAAACAAATCCAACCAGTCACTTCCTGGACAAGAGCGTGAGGTTCGTAACAGGCGAAAAGAACGGCAGCTGCAAGCTCTCGATAAGAGAATCGCAACGATGCGACGTCGAGCAGCAACAGGTCTAGTACCTTCGACGTAAAAGTATCAGAAACTTTTGGTTGAAAAAGCCACGTCAAGCATGTATGTTGCAAACGTAAAGAAAAAACTTTCATACTCTAGCCATGTTCACAAAATCCTCTCTCAAAGTGTCTGGGACTATGAAAGGTTGATCAGTGACATGCTTCTCATTATCGTTCTTCACAACCTGAGCAACATTTGAATTAGGAATATGTAGAAAGTTTTCGTAGAGAGAACGATATAGTTGCACCTCTTTGTTCCCTAAAAACTGCATATACATACTGAGCCAATGAATGGAGGTCAGCGCTGAGAGTGACCACTCTAGTTCCTTTAACATGATGATTTCAAACGTTCGGACCTGGAAGTAAGCACTAAATAGTTACGTAACATCATCAAGTGGCAGAAAAAACTCACAGCGCAAGTAGTTTAAGTAACAAATTTTGAACTAACATCATATTCATTACATGCTCCATCTGTATACGCCACGAATTCTTCAAGTTTTGGCGGATATATTTCCTGAAAAACACTATTATGATCCCCTGTTCTTTGTACATACACACATACGTGTATACAGCTATATACTTATGTATATATGGATGTACAAATATGTATATCCAAGTTGTATTTTCAGTGACACATCTCAAATCAAAATAAAGTTTATTAATCGAAACAAAGAATGTTAAAATGTACACATTTTTGCAATCGATATTTACCAAACAGCAAGTTAATGCAACCAAGCTAAACAAGACTCCGAAGTTCTGGAAACAATGAAGTTGTTGAAGACTGCTTCGGCATCAGGTTGGTTCCTGAAGAATTTCTTGCACAGAAAGTTATTGAGACGCTTAAGAGGTGGCAGTCGATAGACGAGAAGTCAAGAGAGTATTGTGGATGAGGCAGAATTTCGTAATCAAGTTTGCTCAACTTTTGCACAGACAGTTTTGCGACACGTGGCCACATGTATTCATACAGGATCAGTCAACTTCAGACGATCAATGCGTGGCATCGTTGTTCAAGTTTCTAGTTCATTTTGTCCATTTGCTAAAGGTATTTCCCTGTCGTAATAGTTTATCCGGATTCGAGAAGATACACTAAATCATCAGCAAGCTACCAATCGGTAACCATTACCTTCTTTGTGAAACCTCGGTTCTGGGTAAGTGCTTCGGAGTTTCACAGCGGTCCACACACTGAGCCGTTCAAAGCGGGTTGTTGTACACAATCCATTTCTTGTGGCAGATCAAAGTATAATTCAAAAATGGGTCGCTCTAATGGAAGAGAAAGAATGTCTATCATACTCCGAAAGGGATATTTCATTGATAGTCATTGAAACCGTGACTAATCCAATCGTCAAGTTCCTTCTACCGTGTAATGTTCTTTAAACGCTCCGAAACAGTTAGGGTACTTGCCCCAAGTGCTTCTGCATGTTCTCTAACAATTTTACGTGTCAATGTCACTTTTTTTTCCATAACAAAGCCATAATAGCTTAAGCACTCAAAAAGACATATTTGCGCTTGCATTCCGAAGTTCTCAATTCATTGTTGCCAATGGTAGGAAGCACTCCTCGTTCACTCTCATCTTCAACGCCGAATTCACACATAGAAATTTTCTAAACCAACGTTCCCTCATCCTTCGAGCCGTTTGCCTTGCGCAAATCCTAGTTTGAAGTCGTAGAAGTAAGTATGTCAAAACTACTGTTTTGACACCCAAAATTCCAACCTTCAAAATTTCTCAAAGACACAATTATAATATAACTCAATTATGCGAATCGAAAGGCTCAAAATAAACTTTTCAAACATATACGACAGTGCAGCATTCGAAAAAAACTATTGCTAAAACACACATATGAAAAAGAAATTACAAAAAGTGCAATAATTTCTGAGCAATCTAATGTCTACGTATACAACCACACAACCCCTATACTGATGTTGTACTGCTCTGATCTATTACTTCTCCTGTATAGCAAAATTGAATTCCATACACCGCTTCGACAGCAAAAGATCGTGGTTGTCAATCACTGGTACGCCTTTGACCACACAGTATCTCTAGAAATCCATATATGCAATGAGTACCCTATGAACACTTTCCACATCAAGCTCGTAACATGGTAGACCTATCCATCAGACAATACGTGGCAAAATCCATTCCAAACAGCATTACTTACATCACCCGTCGTTCCGTTGATCGTCGACGAACTCGAGCGGGCGCCAGTAAATCTTCCAGTTTCCCCTGTCGCGTGCAAGAGTTGCCCAGTGGGTTCTGCTCACTCTAGGGACTCCTTGAGCATCATACCTTTCTTCACGGCTTTCCATGAAGAACTCTAACCATACGGTCGGTAGTTATCCTGCTGAGTGTTTAACATCTCGAGGAATCCAATTACTAACGGTTCTTTTCCATCGGTTGTCGTTCATACGCATTATGCGTCCGCCTCATCTAACCTTCGACAGTTTGCTATATTGAACGGCGTCCTCGACTTTTGATCGTTGACGCAGGAACTTTGGATCCCTTCCCCTACTTGCGCCATACGGGGTACTCCTTGCATTGTCCTTTCTACTGTGCGTTCAATAACGTTGTGTTCTTTCATCCTGCTTACGCAGCGACCAGGTTTCTGACGCATACGTTAGGCCAGGAAGTACCGTTGAGTTGAAAAGATGGGCACGGAATCCGGTGTTCTTTGTTCTGTTCACTATATCCTCGATGCTCTTGAAAGCTCCCCAAGCCACTCATTTCCTACTGCTCAACTCTGGAGCTAAGTCGTTCAACATGTTGATTTCCCGACCTAGATAGACAACTGGAGCATTCGGAGATATTCGTTCCGTTGAGCGTGAATAGAGCATGCGAAACCAATCCGTTCTTCATGAACATCGATCGTTTCTGTGTAGTCGAAGACCAATCCTTCCACAAGCTTTATCAAAGCCGTCAAGCACACGTTCCGCTTGGCTAATGTTTGGTGTTATAAGCGCGATGTCATCAGCAAAGCGAAAATGGTGTAACTGTCGACCGCTGATTTTCACTCCCATATTATCCCATTCCAATGTTCGCATGACGTTCTGGAGGGTGGCGGTAAATAATTTTAGCGAGATGGAGAGCCTTGCCTAACACCTATTTTGACGTCGATGTTAATATCGTTGTAGAATAGTGATATCTTGGGTGTGAAATTTTTATTCAGTTCACGAAGTACCTTTATATACTGAGTAAGGACTCCGTGACTGCCCAGGGCTTCCATCACTGCTTCTATCTCAATTGAATCAAGGGCCTTCTCTAAATCGATGAAAATGAGACAGAGCGATCTTTTACACTCTCGGGATACTCCAGTGAGTCTTGTTATTGTGTGAATGTGGTAAATCATACTGAAACCTTTTCTAAATCCTGTTTGCTGACATGGCTGTCCGTCATCTAATGTTCTATCAATAGTCGTAGCCTTGTTGATCTTTTATTGAATAAGAACCTTGTACTCTGACAGGTAACGTTTGTGGAGCCGAACTAGTGTTTTGATGAGGACCGGTGGAAGGTTATTCGGGTGTTCAGGACCGACGAAACAGCACATTGGATTTTGGAAGGGAGAACCGCTAGGACACTATATCCATCCTTCTTTACTTCATTTGGGTGCAGGAAGACGTGACAGCCGAAGAGACCCGAGTAATCGTGGACGATTTTCTCCATCGCGTTTCTGGAAGCTGTAACTGTTCCTTTTGTGCGTCGGAGTGCAGTTATCTTGGTTTTGCAATTGGCGAAGCTTCAGTCAGCTTTGCGAATGCTTTCACCAGTTTCTGCAGCTTCAACCATTTCAGCTGCTCTTCCCTTCTCTAAGATCTTCTTTTATCGCCTGTCTGAATTGTTTTGCCAGTTCGGCTATAAATTAGCGGTTGTTTGCATCTCGTGCGATTCCAAGCTGGCATACCAGCATGAGTTTCTGGAGACAAACCTCTCTTGATGACTTTCGAACTCTCCGCTATGATAGTTCTACCGTAAAGGTGTTGAATGAGCTCATCTTATTCCTCATTGATATTAACAAGAACGGCATCTTCTCAACAACCGACCAACGAATTGAATAAATACCAGTTTACGGTAGTTTTGAGACTTCTTTTTTTGAATTTAGAGGCTTCTCCTCCTTACCACGAGGAATGGAATCTTACACGAAGGAGGCGATGGTTTCATATCGTGTAGAATTTTAGAACAACAGTATTACGAATAGTACTCAAATGCGTAGCCACACTTGGTCATCTCTTCTTGCGCTTCCAATTGCCGCTTTTTCTTCTAAGTTGAATTGTATTTCAACACTCCTTATTACACATTATTCCTCTCTCCTATTACTCCACCACCTCATGCAATGCTCTCTTATTGCGAGTTTTAACTCTCAACCTTATCGAAGAGCAGAAACTCTGTTATTGCTTTACTGGGTACGTGTTGCACAATGGTTAAAGGTGCTTTGTACTATACATGTCATTAGTTTAATCTTCCCCCATTGGCTAACCAAGCCGGCATGTCTTGGCGATCGGGAAATCTCTAGCAGACTTTTTTGACAGGATAAAAAAAACACTGAATTGTAACTCATTGTACGGATGTATCTAACCACCTCTGAGATGATTGATGAATTCGAAGGCATGCTACATCACTCAGGGAGTAATCAACGCGGGAAACATAATCCTCTATTGTTATTATTTATATACTTTATATGTGTATAAATATAGTAGCCTACTCACACAATATTGATGTCTGCTTCAGCTGCAACAAGCTAACTACATGAGTCGCGTAGCATAACATACTTCATACTGCACTATCTCCCTCTACTACAATTTAGTTCTGCAATTTAACAAATGTAGCCACGTAACTTTATGGTCGTAAGAACAAATTTTTTACTACGAGAACAATTTAGAGATATGCCACATGCAGTCAGAGATCTTCGAAATTAAGACGAATTTGTGTCTGTATGACTCATTACTAAATATCGCCGTAGAACTAAACCATTTTCCTTTATCAAGTTTGACTAACGCAAAACTACCTTACTTCCATTAAACTAATTTTCCATTAAGAAAACCTGCTAGTAAGAGCATAAGTTGTAACCCGAAAAGCATGAAAGAAGTAAAAATGATCACAAACGCTCATACAGCGCTTCATTACACATGCTTTTCAAACAACGCATAGGATCTTCCAATTACGTCTTGAAATACGGCTCTAGAATATTTGACAGCTAGAGCTCTCCATTTGCGAACTAATCACAGTTAACCTCATATTTTTGCGAACTGCTAACTGAAACAGTGCTAAAAGTATGAACGTCTACATGCACACGTAGGTGAAAGTGACATTTCATATGAAATATGCAGCGTTGAGGTTTTTAACCTTTTCAACAGTTGTCTGTCCCAAGAGTAATTTTTTGTGCATATCCGATAGTCTCTTTTTACAACTATATTCCAAGTACCAGATACGAATAATTCATAAAGTACGCTAGTTCTGTACATCCAAGCAAAAGTCATGACCATTCATCTCACCTCCGTTCTCATAGTATCCAGATTTTTTTCATAGACAATGTCGATGCGAATAGTAGGTGCCACACAGTTTCGTTAACTTCCTTCTGTTCAAGTTCGATTAAGAATATATAACGTCTAAATTCTCGCCATCTTCCAACATCTGTTTTTATACGATCCGACGTCACTTGCTGCGTGGACCACATACTTCTTCAATTCGACTTATCTCCTCGCATCTGTCATCCACGATTGTCCTCGGATTCGTAAGTCCTGCTTCTGTCCAAGGATTTTTGATCTTCTCTAAGAACTTCGTTGAATCCTGATAGTGTCGAGTAAGCTCGAATTCTTGGATAGTAGTCACATGACCGTTCCAGTTTTTCACCGCAAAGGCAGTTACTAACTTTTGTGGATAGTAGGAACCTCTTCCCAGACAATTCGGGTGCCCGTATCTCTACTACTGCACAACTCGCATAGAAATGATCTAGTCCTAGGATAATGTATTTTCTGACCAATAAAATTTACCACTTCCTCGATTCCACGTGGTAAACAATGAAAAACATGCATTGTTAGCTGCGTTTTAACTACTATGGTTTAAAAAAAGTGGTTTAAACTACCACCATATACAAGTACTCCGTGTGTGGAACGTGGATGTGCAGTAGAGATCGTGTCACCAACAAGAACATTTAGGATGTAATGTCCATTTGTAAGCTAAGCTATCAGCAAACCCGTGCCCAAAATTCACCAATGTTCAGAATAGACATTTGCTCAAGGTGGCCAACCTCACTGCCATCCACAAGATCAGGATGTTGTTGATGGAGACCATTTGGGAATGAAAAAATGACGTCCTAATATTCCAATACAAAAAAATATCAATAAGCAAAATACTAGTCAAAGTGAAAGAAATTATGGAAGGATCTGCAATATATGAACGTCCAATGTCCCAATAGGGTTAAAACAAACGAATAAAAACGACCACTCACTTCGTATTTGCTTGCAAGGAATAATGCCGCTGTTCCCACCAATTGAAAAATACAAGACTTGACGCCGCAAAACTTTCCTAGAAACCTGTCAACATAGTCGATAGCTAGGTGAAACGTCTCGCGATGTTGCTTTTCACTGCTGCAAACCTGAAAGATTACGCTTATAAGCCAAAGGCATAAATATCATAAATATAAAACGAACATATTTGCACTATGGTAATCTTGGATTTACAACAATATAGCACAAGTATAATTTCGACCAACAAAAAATACACGTATTTAAAAAATGTTAAAAAGTCCTGAATTATAAAACTCGTCGCAGCTAAATATACCTGAGAGGAACAAAGGATAAAGCTCTAGGCGTTGATCAATCCCCGATAGATACACTATGCATTCGATTTCAACATCGTCGGAGGCATCGTTGGAGGTGAAAGAAGGCACGTCTGGCTTCTACAATGACTCGCGGTGGCTTAGTGATGTATCGAGCCAGTGCTGCTATCCTCACAGACAAGTCTGATACCAATTTGTCGCCCCAAGAGAGATGATGGGCTCGGTGAGCCTGGGGTGTGGGTGTATCGAAGCGCGCCCTCGATCACTGCGCTACAGGCGCCCCTGAGAGGAATAAAAGAAAGAAAGTTAGGTGTAGAAAAAAAATAAACCACTCCAGAAAAATATAAGCTACAGTTTTCTTGTTCAGCAATAGCGGTTTTTAAACAGCATACATTTACTTCCATAGAAAAACACAATACAAGACAACACTAGCTGACGTTTCGGCGGCATCGCCTTCTTCAGAGTCTGGAAGGGTATACTGATATACAATCTACTAGGCCAAACGCTTCAATAACACTTACAAGATGAAAAACTCCATGGCAATTACATGATCAACAACTTCTCGAAAAACGGTGGGTTCAAAAAACGTCAGCTAGTGTTGTATTGTATTGCGTTTTTCTATGGAAGTAAATGTGTGCTGTTTAAAAACCTCGCGATTGCTGAACAAGAAAACGACACATTCATATTCGAATGCCGAAGTTAATAGAAAGTCGATCCTGGGAACTATAAGCTACAGTTTTGAACTTTGTTCATGAGTTAACATTTTGGTTGTAAGCTGAAGCCTTTCTGAAAGAAAATAGCCTCCAAATTGAAGATACCTCCATTATCCAGTCCACCAGAACAGCTCGTGTCTTTACGGACAAATCAGGATGGTTATCGAGTAAACGATTACTTGGACGAACGAGCTCGTTTTTTCGGCATAGAAGACCCCAAACCTAAATAACATCACAAATTTCACTTATCTGCGAAATCACCTCACAAAAAACAAGATAGGATGATTATTGACTACGACTGACTTTCTTAGGTGATCCAATTCCCGTGCATTTGAGAGCAGTAAGCTGTGGCGGTGCATCTTTCTGATGATACCTGTTATCGTTCAATCCTGCTTCCAATTTTCGGAAAGCATCATTCTCCAGTTCTTCTGAAAAAATATTGAAAGGACCTGCTGTTGTTTAGCAGTTTCGAAAAGAAAGCACTTCATAGCGCCTTGGAAACAGACGCACCATTCTCTTCATATTTCCTGTCAGAAAACTCGCTAGAGAGACTATCCTTTTCACCGTCAGAGATAAGAGCCTTAACGAAATAACATTCCATGAATGTTTAATAGAAACCAGAAGTCATGAAAACTATGCAAAATACCGAAAACTGCCCATCGGCTTGTATATGCTCTGAACCGTCGATACCGGATGTTGACGGTACACACTCAGGAGCCATTGCTTCAACTTCACTACTTGTGGAGGAACGTTTTGCACTGCACGGCGACAAAATAGAGAGATACTGAAAAGCAAAGAATTCAATCCTAGAACCATATGTTGTCCGATGGTAATAAAGCGCGACCTTATTTTAGTATATGACAGACTTCCTGCATTCATTTTTGTCCCCATTACTACTTACGGGAACTATTCACTGATTACCCTCCAACGGTTCACCGTCTCATCGTGGCTGGGAGATGTTCCTGAGTTTGGGGTTGCGATGTACAGCAATGGGATCCACCCACCAGCAAGGTCTCCCAAGCTGATAATGAATCTGGCGTTTCCATCAAGAAGCACAGCTAGGAGTAAACCTATGCCAGGATCTACCACCGTCCTGGTATCAAACTAGTCGCATGGTGGCAAATCTTCCACTGATCCACCAGTGCGAGGACTGTCTCTGGTGGTGACGACCTGGGGCAGTCTTTGGCCTGGCTGACCTCGAGACTACAGGGAACCACCATGGCTAAACCCTCAAAATTCCAAAAATATGGAAATTATGCTGGGACCCGCACAACCAGTGAAGACGGGCCGTCTAAGTATCCAGGTAAGTAGTGACAGATTAACTGAATATATTGAATATTTAAATCTAAGATAAGACCTATTATCGGGATCTGAATTACAATAGCATAGCTCATATACTTCTAGCACGAAATAACCAATTGAAACCCACAAACAGAAATTTAGACCTTGACGCATGATTATTATACAACTTTGAAACGAGCTAACAGCAACTATTGGACGACGTGGGAAGAGACAGAGTAGAAGGACAGGAACGACGACGAGGACGACGAATGTTCTGGCGTACCTGACTATTCCACTCACAATCGAACTTATGGATCTGCTTTCTACGGACTCGGAGTAGGTAAACACACTACAGATTGGAGGTACCCCAATAACTTTTACACTGACTGATGCAAGTCTGAGGATGACGGAATCCCAGGAATGTAATGTCAGCGCACCAGGGATTTAAAAGGCGGCTTGCGCAGAAGGTACTCAAATTTTAATTGGGTTTCTAATTAAACAATATATTAACTGGTTCCCTTCGACAATTCCCTCAGGATGGCTCGACTTCGTTGCGGATATATCCGGTAAAGCGCATGATTGGAGGAATTAGGGTCGAAACGACCTTAACCTATTGTCAAACTTTCGATAGGTATGTTGTCTCGGTTTCTTTATGTTTCCCGAGAGAGTGTGAGGCCTGTGCGGATAGCTGAACATGCCGTATGATTACCCCTTAGAGTAGAGTTGCTTGAAAGCGCAGTCTTAAGTGGGTGATAAACTTCGCCTAAGGCTAAATACGAACGCCTACCCAATTTAGTTCGTATCGCTGGGTTAGAATGGAGATGGCTCCAAAATATGTAACCACATGGAACCAAGAAATAATGGTCCATAGATCATCGAAAGTTACCTTAATAGACTCTATCTTTCTCTTGCGATTTCCTGCGGAACATGGCAATAAATGTTGAGATGACCAGGAAGGATGAACACTTGTTTCTGCGAAAGACGAACAGCCACTGAAGCCACAAGAGTATATGAACAAACAGATTTAAATGCACCATAGTTTAACAAATATAAACTGTACAAACTGCTCAAAAATCACCTTTCCGAGCCAAACTGACCAATACTTGCACCAGCAGCAGATCTCGATCTTCTTTTCTTCACTTGGGGCCTACCTTTCATTCATTCACTGGAATTGTTGGAGGCAATGCATTCGATTTCAGGAAAACAACAAGGAAACAAACTAGACAGTACAATCCCCAGAGAGTAACAGAACTCCCCGAGAAAAGTAGATCTTCTTGTTTGGCACTGAATACTTAGGTCCAATGAAATAACGAATAGAATGGATCTGAAGTGGCGTAGCAAGTCTACAGTTCACCGCTCTCCACAACGTCGACAAAACAACCCTACACGAGAGAAAAAGCGTGATTTCCTCCCGAACCAAATTAACCACCGCCGTGCTTATTTCAGCAGAGCGTTACTCGAACATGTCAATAGTAACTCTTATGGCTAGATCAAGCAATTTTCGACAATACCGACCTATTTAGACCATACGCACCATAGGACAGTAGCTAAAATATCGCATTTCCACCAACGTACTTGGAAATTTATAGACAAGTGACTAAACTTTCGCTAGGAAAATTGGAGAGGATCAATGAGGATCGCACAGGCTAAACGTTATAGCAACTTTAAGGTTGCCTTTTAAACACATGCTTTCAGACACATTGCTTTAAGTACCCAGCTACGAAGACCGAAGAATAATTGGAGGCTCGAGTGTGGAAGCACTTCAGGCCACTACCGTTGACATATGGGGATCCAGCGATAAGCACCTCAGCCCGGATGAAGCTGATCTACGGCCCGGTGCGCGAGCACCCTTTCGAACGTCGCCCGCCGACGGCTGGTTGGCGCGCGGGCGGCGCCGCGGTCCCGCAGCGCTCGTGCGCCTTCGGTCTGCGTCGTGTCCTCCATTATCGATCGCCTTACTTTGGTGGGAAAAAAGCATGTGCACTTCGTGGACGTCGGGATGCTGTTCGGCTGGCATCCTTCCCTCCAAGAGTGTGTGGATTCAAGCGCTGACACGTTGCGTCCACGTGAAGGACTCATCGTTAAGGTGGTCTCGAAGCTGCTTCCGGATTGCGAGGGGTTGACGGTGATGGTCAAGTCCAGGTTTTATTTGAAACTCAGGGATATACGACTTCAGACAGATTCCGATTCTTCAGCTATCGATTCGTGAGCGAGTCTGAAATTTGGCAGTGATCTTGTTGGTTGCAAGATTTTTGTGATGACGCGGGAACTTGTGAAAAGCAGGTGTTTTAATATTCCTGGCTTTCGTTTACATTTTTTAGAATACGGACATAGATCCTAAATTTTGACTTTTGATTTATTTCTGTGTCATCGTGTGTCCCTGGCTTTCAACTGAATGGGTACATTGCCATTTCCTTCGCTGCTCACAAGGGCTATGCTTGGCGGGCCAGTTAAACTATTTTAGTTCTTTCATATTTTTAGATTTATAAGACCTTCGTGTGAGCTTATCTACAAGCCAAGGTTTTGTTCTGCTTCACTTCTGATCCGACAACACTGGGTTTTTCGCATCCTTACTTCTTTCATTTCCTAGCTATTTCTGGATGGCGATGTTTCTGACTCGTTCTTGTTATCATTGCAGACCGCATGGACTACGTAGCGCGTGTGTATGAATCAGGAACGAAGTATTTCCGTGTAAAAAATGGATTTCAATGATAAGCATCACGAGTTAATCGTGTTTTTGCATGTTTTTGTGCTATTCATGCACTAGATTTTATTGACTGAGTATTCATCTGCCACTGATGGCCTATGAACGAAGGAAAAATTATGTGTCCTGCTAATGCAGGACGTACAAATTGTGTCTTTAGCGTTCCTTAGCCTGCCTTCATGTGGGGTTTCACGCGCCAAAGCAACAGAGATTTCTAATGGAGGAGTCAATTTGTTCTCACAATTTTTCTTATTTGTTTTTTCTTTGTGTTTTTGTCGTCGCTATTTTCTATGTGTAAACATCCACCATGTTTCATTCACTTCCAATTTATCGTTCGTTTCAGACTTTCCACTCAGGCACAGCCTGAGGTGATGTCGGACGACGAAGGTCGTCTTCTCATTGACGATTTACAGGACGGCACCGGACAACTCGATAATGCACATCAGGCGAACGCTCTGGTTGACGTGAAATCCACTCAGGGTGATTTCCTGCACTCTTCTTGTATTTCTTATCAGGTGAAGCTTTCATTCAGTCAAACTTAACTGTCAAGTTTCTCTTCAAGGCGAGTCTGAAAGCACTTCTATAAATAAGTTATCAACTCCTCTTACCGTCCCGGTATTCGGACAACCACAAGCAACGCTGAGCGGCGAGGCGATTTTCCACGTTGGAGCTGCTTCGAACACCCAACGTGCTGAAGGTCCAGGTAGATTGCTTGTTCTGTTTGTTATTTATTCCTTGAATCCTTCATTCGGTTGAAAAAGCTTGTCTAGCATTCTCGTTTACAAATAATATGGCAAGAACTCATTGTGAACAAGAGCCCATGTTCAGCAGCGCCACTTCATTGCGACACAAGTAAGTTCTCTTCGTCATAGCAAGAATTTATCCTCTGTGTTCCTGAGCGTACTTAGTGGCTGAGTTATTTATAAAACTGGTTCACCGATTTCTCAGTAAAGGAAGAATTATTCACTTTTTTCAGGAAAAAGCTCCAACCTGACAATAATTCGGTTGTTTTTGCTTCGAGATGCGAGAATAACCATTCTTTGGCGTCAACCCCTCGCAGTTCAGTGTAGGTTCTAGTTTTTCCACGCATGTATGTACATATATATATATATATATATATATATATATATATATATATGTACATGTGCATATATGTGAATATACATGCGTATACACTTGTGAATATGTATACACTTGCATGTACGTATATATGTTCATATATACATACGTATATACACATATATATATGCGTGTGCAATTTTGTCTTGAAGCATAGTGTCCTTGAGTCTTAGAACGACAAACGATCATCAATCTCCACAAATTGACAATTTTTCGAGCGGGAAACGTCAAAAGAGGTACAAAACGAATGGGATGTAAGAGTTTATTTTCTGGCACGTATTTCCACTTTCTTGAAATTCACATGGAACTTTCGATAGGTCAAAGAGTCGAAATGACACGTCTTCATCGCGCAAGAGGAAGGACAGCTTGTTCGATGGACAGAATCCTCCCAGCTCTCCTGTTGATTCGGATGATGCGGCTGTGAAAAGACATAAGCCGGTTAAGATTTCTTCTCTTTTGCTTATTCTGCGAATAAAACTTCATTTTGAGTCGTCATTAATTGAATGCGATGATCTAACAGTTGTGCGATCGCGGCACCTGTGTACAGTCCCGGGCAGTTCAAAGCGAAATGGATGGTTCGTTTTTCGATCTGGAAGTGGGATCCACTCGGATTGTGGAGATGACTGTTGTTTGTAAAATGGAAAGTACGTGACTGCATGGTGTTTTACTTTAATATTTTGCTTTTTTGTTAAATATCTTTTTATATCTTTACTAGGCAATGAACTGTATGTTGTTGCCAAGTGGAAGGATCAGGAGCTTAGTGGTATTCTCACGGATGGCCATCCCCCTGCGTATACACTTTACATGAAGAAAAGGTAAATACTTTAATTTCATAACGTTAAAGATGGGATCTTTTACAAGCTCTGTAGCCAGTGCAAAGTCGTTCTCACTGATTCCTTCTAAATGAGTGTTTACCTTTGTGTTCCCCAGATCAACAGTTGCGAACAGCGGTTCTAGCAGCTCTAACGGGAGTGCATGTGGCGACTCGAATGATAGAACTACGAACAGTGGTGCTAGTACTCCTTCTAAGTCTCGCCAAGTCCCACTAACTCCCCGTGACTCGAAGAAAAGGACTTCTATTGAGTCGAAAAGAAAGTCATCATGTACTACAGCACGTCCTGGCAGCTCTGCAGACCCACGTATGTTTTCTTCCTTTTAAGTGATCTATATTTAGTTTTAAAACATGCATTAACGTGGCGTCTGAAAACATAAAGTATGCATATAAAGAAAGATACGAGTGGGCAATTTTTAGCTGAAGAAGATGAGGAATTGGAAGACGAGACTACTCCTGGTGTATCTGCTTCAGCTATGGATGCTCTCAGGCTTGTCGAAGTTCCTGGACGGTTCGTTCATCAGTTATTCTACTTTTCTTGGTGCTGATTAACTAACTTTGGCTTTTGTTAACTACTTCTTTCCTTTCATTGCGTAAGATCCATTGAGTTATAAAAGTGTTTGAAGTATGTTCGTATGCATATCTGGTTACTTTTTTGAAACAAGGAGATGCCTCCATTTTCCAGGTCTAAAACGCGATTCGATTTCCTATTAGGACTAACATGTTTGCATTTTCATAGGCAAAAATCCCTGTCCACCCTTTGAGTATAGCTATTTCACGTATTTTTGGTACACATGAACCATAAATAAGAGTTTTTGAAATGTTGTGGTTGATTTTGAAGCAATTAAATCGTCGAAAAGGCATTGAAGAGATAATTAATACAACACCATTTTGATGGAATCCAGTTATTAATTTTTCAGGTTATGAATCTTGGTTGGACAAATTCCCAACCCTCCTCGGAGCATTTTCTTTCGAATCGTTCCTTTTGACACACAGACTTTTCCTGTGACCTTATGTGTAGAAACGTTAGCTTCCCAATCATAAGTATTATGAGCGAAGTGATCCGATTGAGGCTATCTTATACAGTTATTAGGACGAACTTGCCCATCTGTTTGATTCCATCGGTAATTGATTGCTCATACGAGTAAAGTAGCATAAAATAACGGTAAAGGTTAAGAACGTGCTAAAATATTCTTACTTTGATTTGTGTTTCTGATCGTACGCACTATGTTCTTTGAGTGCTGTACGTGGGGGTGGGGGTGGGGGTAGGGGAATTAGGTGTGGTTACGAATGTTTGATCCAATTTGCCTGTTTCCTTTATGGTAATTGATGATAAAGTGTTGTTATGTAAATTGGTTGTATTCGTAGAAAATCGATGCACGTCTGTTCGGTTGATGGTTGTCAACACAGATATGTTCGAAGTGAAGAAATTGAGTATCACAAAGCGACTGCGCATGCAAAACGAGCGGTATGGTTTTCGTACCAAAAATAAAGTTAAAATTATTTGAAGTTTGCAAGCGAAGATATTTGGTATGTCGTTATGTGAAGTGAAATGGACATTTTCAGGTAATGTACGAAGCCAGATGTTCTCAGACTGACATATCTGCTTTTCGACGAACATCAGTTCAAACAGACGTGGATGGTCTATTTGATAGCGAGGTATTATGCCCCAAAACAGATTCTGAGGAAATTTCTGTGAAAGTAAGTCGGTAACGTTCTACACTTTCTAGTTTTTGCTGTTGCATTAGTCACTAGTAGCCAAATATCTCAGCTGGAATGAAAATAAGCGGCTATCATTTCTACGTTATATCCGAGAAGCTTTTATCTTTTTTAATAATTTTTTAAAATCGTGGTTTTATTTGGATCTTTGCACTTAATTCATAGTGAAATGCTTCATGACCCAATTTCTGCTTTGAGCGGAGTGTATTTCCCATTCCCACCTGAAATTTCCTTTTGTTAATGGATGCTGGAAACATGTTTTTTTAAATGATTTATGTAGATTCGTTTCGTCCACTGAGACCGCATAATTTTCCGTTTATGTTTCTGAGTGTTTATTAGGCAAAGCGGAATTATTTCATTTCATATAGTTCAGCCTTAAGCTGAGAAAAATATCCTGATTTTTGTTCCAAGTATGATTTTGCGCTTGATGCACTCTCATTTACACAGCACCCTCCTTTGCTCGGTTGTCAACTTTTCCTTTAAATTTTTTTTTAAAGTTCTGTTACCTTTGTTTTGACAGCATTTGGTGAGCTTGGCTAAACTTCCTTTTACTGTGCTTCGTTTAACCATCCATCATTAGTAATTTCAGCTTGAAAATTTGCCTTCATCTTCATCCACAGTAAATACAAAAGCTGAGAATACGCAAGCTTCGAAATCTCCCGCGGGCTATTCTGATATATCAGATGATGGCGTTGCGCCTCAGTTGCAAAAGGTAACAAATACTTAGTCGTCTTTATTGAAGTGGTATGTCAATAACCTATATCTTACCATTTGTGCCGAAGTTAATTGCTGACATAAATCAGGAGGAGCCTACATCGGACATTCGCGTCCCTCTTTTGATTTCAACGAGTCTCCCTAGCAGCTCATCGTCAGGAGTGACAAATGTCCTCACATCGCCTGAATTCGTTTCAAGCCCTCTAGAAAGAGAAGCCGCTCCGGGTTCGTTGTTTAAGATCATGGAACTAAGAATTTAAAAACACAAAAATGTTATTACTCTTCATCTCAGTAGAGGAGTTTTTCAAAAGATGCATAATGTTCAGGAGTTCAGTAACAAGGATAGTAATAATTGTTTTCCCAGATTCATTTCCTGTAACCCCACAGCAACAAAAAATTTTACGCCCTTCTTCTATGCCACTCGCACCCGCTACGCCAACTGCTCTTCAGTCCTCATTTCAGCCTATATCAGGTTGGTCGCCCGTGAATTTGGGAACATTGTGAAATAGACTAACCTTTAGTTCGGTATTTTTATGTCAGTTGTTCCAAGTAATTGTTATAGCGGAGCGTAACCGAGGTACAGTAAATGGTACAGGTGTTAGCCCTGTAGTCAGTTCTGTTGGCACACCAACACCGGTTTCGGCAATATCTGGATCTGCCCGAGGTGTGTTGTTTTATTATTCACTACACCAAATGTAAAATAAATCACTTAACATTACTAAATGAGAATAAGGATCACTGTTTTCTGAAAGTGAAGGTTTTGTAACAGTATAGGGCATTAGTATAGGCATTAGTATAGCATAGTATAGGGCATTGCTTTATGGCGAAGAGTATGTCTTAGTCTACATTATCTTTTAATATTCAGTACAATGCTTAATCCGTGGAATACTAATCGAAAAACTTTTGTTAATACAGTGATATTCTCCCAATGGTTTACCGCCTCATTGTAGCTGGAAAGTGATCCTGGGTGTCGAGCTGCGATGTACAGTGAAGGATTCCCCCCATCAGCTGGGTCTCCTAAACTGCGAAGGAATCCGGCGTTTCTGTTGTCAGGAAGCCCAACTAAGAGTAAACCAATACCAAGATCTGTCACCGTCTTGGTACCAAACTAGTCGCATGGTTGCAAATCTCCCTCTGTTCTACAAGGGTGACGATGTGGTGGTGAGGATCTGGGGCGGACTTTGCCCAAGTTGATCTCGTGACTCCAGGGAACCACGGTGCCTAAACGAGCAAGACTTCGAAAATGTGGAGATCATAGTGGGGCCTGCACAACTAGTGGGGACGGCTCTCCAAGTATCGAAGGAAGTACAGTGATATAATCGAATTTTATGTTTTGAGAAATTGGTGGGTTGTAGATTATGTCATTTAGTTCTAATTTTGGCTATAAATTCCAGTGCCAGTGAATCCAATTCCTGCAGGAATGTACATGTCTTCATTCGCGCACCAAATGATGGCTCCATATGCTTCTCCACTTACGGCTACGCCCACTTCAAATCCGGCGCCTTCACCACAGCAACTGAATAAAATTTCACAGTCACACATGAAAACTCCAGACGGTTAGTTAAAAATCCTTTGATATTTTGATGTACGTGAATAGTGTGTACTAACAATTATTAGCGGAGTATTTGCAGAAGTAGCTGCCGCAAATAACGTCTTGTCTGCGCAGAAAACTATGCAGTCGTCGGCCGCACAAAACATACAACGACAATTCGGACTTCAAATGATGCAGTCTGGGACAGGTTAGCACTGGCGTCGGTGTGAGTAGCAGTTAATTAAAATAGAATTTTTTAAACTTTATGCTTTTTCAGGTCAGCATCAAGCTGCCATGATGCAAGCAGCTGCTGCACAGGCGCAGATGGCCCAAATGCATCATTTGTATATGCAGCAAATGGCTGCGGGTGCTAGAGGTGGACAGTTCCCGGTTCGTTGCCTTAAGCAATGTTTATTTTTGTTTATACCTCTGAACATTTTGAACTTCACAATATTGTTTGTAGATGGCTGCGGCTTCAGCTGGTCCTCACGAAATGGCTCTTGCTGCTTTACAGGGTAGGTTTCGATATCCTCACAGTTTCTCTGTATATCCCTGTGATCCCATTAATAGTCGAGTAATTCGAGCCCCAATTTACACTCGTCTGTTTTCGGGTAGAGCTTGGATCAGACCTTTAGAGATGAAACGCTGGCGCAATACATTGCGTTTGACGTCCAGGTACATTAATTCCCCTCGATGAGGTAATAAACGATCGAAGGGGTACTAAATGATTATGCGTCACTTTCTGTAGTGATAAAATGTTGTATTACAGCTATGCAGCACCAACAGCAGCAGGGTCATTTTGCCAGCATGTTCCAGCAAAAGTAGCAGTTTCACTGTGATAACCCTAATATAAAACAAGTCTTCCGTACTGCCTAAAGTTTTCCGTTTGTGTATATTTTTGCTAAACAACGTAAGCAAAGCGTCAGCAACTATTTGCTCATATTTATGACTTTGCTCCTTCCCATATGTCACTTATGTTGGCGAGTTTGAAGCATAGCATCTTACCGTATGCGCTTTGTACGTGTCTACGTTTGGTTTATTATTACGATTGTTATTGTTATACATGTAATTGATCCGGGATTCATAATGATTTTCATTGTTTACTTCTTCTTTTTCCCACGTCATTTACCTTGATTTTCTATCTGTTCTTCAAAATATTCTGTAGAGCGTCTGAAATCCTCTAATGCCACGTTTCTTCCTCGTTTTTTCCATCATGGCTTGGGACCAATGCTATTCCCCATTATTTTAGTGCCACATTTGCTGTTATGATTTGCCAATGGTCGAGATCCCAGTTATTGGGCATGTACATATACAGAATTCTCCCATTGCGCAATATCATGTATTGAAATTATTAAAACTTTATTAAGATAAGCATTATGCATCGGAAAAAGTAAAGTGCAGATTTGTTCACTTATCACATAGAGAGGGGAACATTTCCTTCAATTGCTTGACAGAATAACATCGTAGCAAACGAGGGATGGATACATTAAATCAAGAAAACTGGTACATGCAATGTTTCATCGATACTGCGAAGATTCATGATTTACATCCACTAATCGGTTAAGGCATGTGTGTTTGACAATGAAGTAGATTAGAGAAAATGTAAAGAGAAGCCTTCCGATGTGGTTCTAGCCGTAGTTGTCAGTTCTGTTTGATTGACGAACAAAATTCAAACCGACGAACCAACCGTGGTACTATTTGTCGCAGAGAAGTTACGTTTGATCTAATTTTACAATACCTCAGAAATAAGACACCCAGTACGAAATTAGCCTATAATACATCAGTTGGATATTTGGACGACTCGTCCTCACAGGTTGTGCGGACTCCATCATAATTTCCATTGTTTCGGAGTTTTAGTGGTTTAGTCATTGTTTCCCTGGAGTCCCGAGGTCAGGCTGGTCAAAGTCTGTCCCAGCTATAATACATTTACTTCAGTAATGCAATAAATATATAAAAGGTGCGTTTAGGGACCCAAATGTGACGGATATCAAAAGACTACTGTAACACATTCATTCATGATCGTTAGCAGCATCGATATGCACAATGTATGAGAACGTCCTATTGAAAAGCTGTTATTGGACAAAACTGGTGTGCTAGTTAGTATAGTCCTTAGAAATCTCGGATATAAAAGGTCTAGCAAGTGTTTCTAGTTATCAGCGAAATACTTTCAAGGCGAACTGAGTTCATAAACCAAAGGTGGAGCACCTTGCTAATCACACAATGAAGGCAGAGCATTAACGCACCACCTTGTATAACGTATTACAACGTTCAGAATACAACTTGTAAGAATCCGGTAATCATAAACTCTAAACAACAAAGTTCCCGTCTTTAAATACAGGCTACTGTAGCACTTCGTTTCACTCTGAGAAATTGATTTCAGTTTTGAGCGTGCAGCACGTCCTGTGACGGACTAATAACGATAGGGGCCATAGTGACCAGACATGTCAACGTCGTCGTACTCGTCAAAACCATGTCGATCAGGCGGCTGACCATATCGACTTGACCCCATAGGGGCAACTACGCGCTGACCCGTGATCACTGGCCCTCGCTGCTGACTCAACGGCATCGGCGCATTGGCTCCGAGCGCCGTTGGCTGTTGATAAAGAGCCGGTCCCACGCTCTGGAATGTTTATCCTTTTTAGAGGGTCTCTATTTAGATAATTAATGATGAGTCAGTAATGTGTGTATTTATCTCTTGATTTATTTATTTACATGGCCCGTATTTACATATTTTGCGGACTCAAGCACTTCTTTCATTCCATTCGTCGTCTTAGATTCATCATTCAATTCATTCAAGAACATGTCTGGATATCCACGCGGACTTTTACCTCAAGATTTTGTCTACTTCATGATCATTGTTAAATCTTCGTCGAGTTGATCCTACCTGAAGTTATGGAAAATCTCTGGTGGCGCCTCTTCAGGATCCCACCACAACCATGTTTGTTATTTTCATGGACTTTTGTTTCAGTATGACTTAAAAATGTTTCACTTATTTCTTCTTTCTATTCTAAAATAGTGTTTCGGACATGTTACAAAGGCATGGCTCTAAAGAATTACCTGATGCATGTTGACGTTCGGCAGTGGCTGCTGCCGTCCGGACATAGTCTGCATGGGTGGAGTCAGATATGGCGCAGCAGGTATCGGAGCTACCACTGGCGGTCCCAGTTGTACTGGCGGTGCTTGCTGTTGCAGTACCGTAGAGCTATTGGGACCACCACCCATCATTGCACCACCTCCCATGCCTGTGCCCTGAAACAGTATAAATGTCATGAACAACTACAAAAACAAAGGTAACTTCACTGTGCATGTGGCACTGCAATAATTTTTGACGTTTTTGATGTATCACATCGTAATCGTCCTAATTCATCTCACCTTAAAACCGCATTTAACGCAATGGTTAGAGACGCTGTTTAATACAAACGTCGTCAATTGTTTCATTATGTGTCCCAGGCAAACCAAGCCTTCAATCTGTTCGAGGTCAGCAAATTGGTACCAGACTTGTCTAGGAGGGTAGCAGCACTATCTCAGTACATCGGTATGTCACCGCAAGTTATTGAGTAGGCCAGATATAAATCCATTCGCCGGTGCTTAATGGAGTCGAAGGCATTGTGCATCTCTCAGGGACTGATCTACACCGAATGCTTTGTCCTCTTTATTGATTTATCTGATTGAGAAGTGAGAAGCCAGCCGCGTTTGCACAGCTGCTGGTTCGAATGTTGCTTTGTTAGCAGACTAATAAATGTGACATACGAATAGAGCTGTGTATATCAGTGGAAGTGACGGACGTTAACTCTTTCATCCTTTTTGATATCGACTAGTATGAGTTCCCTAAATGGCTCATTACTAGAAAGGTGAAGGGTTGTTGTATGTTGAAATGTGGTATGCAGGAAGGAGTTATCCCATAGCAGACCCACCAATGCTGACAGGAAGCTGAACTTTTACGTTTGCAAGCTTAATCAAGAACAAATCAGCGGCAAGAATCGCAGCTCTTTTGCAGTAAGTAGTACAGCTGCAAAATGGCAAACCTAACCCACTTCAAAAGCACAACAACTATCTATGGCACCAATGCTACACTTTTTCTAACTAAACTCCGACGACACATTCTGAACTACCTGCATCATTTGAGCAGCGGTAAAAATCTGTGTAGGACCACGATTCTCCATCGGATTTCGTTTTATTCTCGGTGGGCTACGAACTGGCGGATGGGTAGCTCTCCAGTACGCCTCTAGGAAATCAGCAAGGTGCTCGCACGCATCTTCCAGCTGATTCTCGTCTAACAGCACATCAAAAAGCTCCTAGAACAAACATTAAACTCAGCTCCGACTTAACATTAACCTTGGTGCTGTTAAATAAATTAGTGTTTCCTTCTTGAGCAAATATGAGGCTGTCGATACAAGACTTATCAATTACTGGCTGACGTTTCGGCAGTTGCGCCTTTTTAAGAGCTTGGAAAGGTCAAACTGACGTACGGTCTACGGAGCCGAACACTTTCACAACAAAGCAGAGAAAAATCGTTATTGACAGTCTGGTGTCTGCTCAAGACGAAAACACTAACTTATTGGACAACAAACCGTCATACTGCTAACATAATCGGGTAATCAATATGTATTCTTTCTTTGATAAGCTTACACGAGGTTGATAACACTCCTTATTTTCGGCCCACGTTTCGACGGTCTTGTCTTCATCAGAACTGATGATCCGAATCGTTGGTCCACAGTTGTTCGTGTTCTCGAGGTAGCGTTTTCGTCGCGCATCGAGCGGGGTCTTCCTTAGTGGAGCATCTCTCATCATCTCGGATTATCGACTCTGATGAAGACGATACCATCGAAACGTTGGCCGAAAATAAAGAGTATTTTCAATCTCCCGTGAGCTTATCAAGGAAAGAATACATGTTGATTACTTGTACCGAAGTTAAAGGAAAGTCGGTTTTGAAATAATCAGGTAACTTTACTGAGGGTGAAGTTTATCATGAAAACTACACGTTCTATGTCGTTCACTTGTTACGAAGACGTAGTTTCAGTCAGCCAGTGGCAAGGGATAATTTCAAAGAAAGACGAAAAACAGAATGTTTGAATAAATGTCTGCAGTTCTACTCTCGCGAGCTACATCAATCAACCTCGGAAGGGGTAATCGTGGTTCGATCTGGCCCGGGTCCAAGTTTTGCGATCGTTGCGGTTGTACATCAATCTGTTACAAATTAAGCAAGCACTGAACAGCCAGTCAATCGTTGATGTTGAAGAGACGGCATTCATACAAAAAGAAAACACACCGGTGGGCACTGAGCCAGTTTCTCTGCAGCCACCATCTGCACGTTCATATTGCGAGATTGTGATTTGTTCCTCGATTTGATAAGCCGTTGTAACACCTGCCATTGAAGTAGTCAAAATTTGATAACAATTGGCAAACCGATCGATTAAACGATTTAGAATTGAGCTGAAGATAAACATATTAAGTTAAAAATCTCAGCACCGAATACGTTTGAAACCATCCTGGTCATACACAAACCTCTTTGCTTAACAATCCAGGATAGTATCTTAGCCATACCCAGATAGATTTCGAGAGACCACACTATGTTCGTTTTAAAAATTGAATAGTTGGGGTTAAACTAATCTCTCTAAGTAGACATAAGGGACAATTTCTCCTAACATTACTTTCCCTCTATTAGTATTAGAGATGGTGTAGCGAACACATATAATCTAACAATTTTTAACTATAATTTAATAACCTTGTGCCTTCAATGACCCAATATAAGATATGGTTAGTAGAAATACATTTACATCTAAGCAATAGTACATAATCTATTTTGCGAAAACTTTCCAATTTCCAAAACTTGTTACTGGGGCCAAAATAAAGTTTTCTGAAGAAGGTTTAACTCTTTCCCACTGTATCTATCTGCCAGCCTATTTTTGCAGCATAACGTATTTCTGTCTGCATTTCTGAACTGTCAACCTCTTCCACTTCGCCATTTACCTTTGGTGAGCTGATCTTTATATACACATGTATGGGAGCGAGGCTGGTTTTGGCGAGTTGACTCGGGTGGTTGATTGTGTCGCAGTCGAGGATGACGAGCTGCATCGAACGGGCGAGCTCGAAAATGCGCTCGATTTCTGTCTGTATCTCGGCTGCAAGACGTTCATGGAAACATAATATGCACATAAAAACTTGGAAAAGAAATGTTATATTATGGGAAAGTACAAGCATGTAATGATATATGAGAAGCGACAGAAGACTACTACGTCTTCATTATCTAGCTTGGATTCTCTCTCAAGTGTTTCTCTATCGCCTAGATTCACGTCATTTCAAAGAAGAATGGATTTTATTGTAGAATCTGGAGCGAGTATAAAATAAGACTTTGTCGGCGAGAGTCGTCTACAAGATGTGAATTGACAGCCGCGTTGTTTCATGGATGTTTAGAGGAAGACGGGGATAAACTTCGCATAATCGGATCTAAACAAACATTTGAGCGACAACTAAACACCACTGGTAACTTCTGTCTTCAAGGTGTACTCAACAGATTGATGAAGACTCCTATTTGTGTGACCCATTTCCATAGTTCTTTCCCCTCATTTGCAGTAGTTTTCCCACACCACTGGTTATTTTGCACCTGTCACCGATTATGATATTTGGATTTGTCTGAGTTCGGCTGCTACTTGTGGATTTCGTGAATGTCACTGATCGCTGTTCCAACCTTTTCTGTGTCGTATCCTGGGAAAAGTATGCTACGAAGCTTCCAGTTGTTCATTAAAATAGGTCCTAAGCTTTTGCTGATGAGGTAGCTCATTCGAAAGCGAGTCTGACGCTAATTTGCCGATTCTGGAGGAATGAGGGAAAGTTGGGGTTGTTCACCAAACACAATTCTGGTCGATACTTTTTTAGATTATTAAGCTGACACGAAGTTGGTGTAGAAATATTTATTTGGCTAACGTTTTGACCTCTCCATTTTCTCCAGAGCCGAGCCGAACCGGGTCCAGCGCCGGTTGTTGCCGCCAAGTGGGTACTTTTTTTTTACGTATCAAATCAAATAGCTTGGAGTAGAACACCACTCAAATGAAGTATCCCCTCTCCGCGGCATTCTCTTATACATGACAGATGTTGACCTATTGCTGCCATCCAATGTGATCCACTTTTGGCTGCAGTGAACCCGTTGCTTTCTGTGCCTCACTAGCTGGCACACGGCGCAGGAGTTTCTTAAAAACTGACTTTCATTAAACCTCGGCAGGGATAATTAAAACAATTCAGGTACTCATAAATCCTCTTATGAAATAGTCGCGAGGCCAGAAGGGTTAGACGCGGATCGAGAACGACCATGTCTCCTGAGACACAGGTGAATACAGCAAAATGTGCTGAATGTTTCTCTTAGTGTTGAATTAATTGAAACTCTCCGTATAGAAGTAATGGTGTCCAGCCTTATTGGTCTGTGCGTCCATGAAAGTAAATGCACTGTACTGAATTGCACTACATCTTACGCATCGTGAAAAGAGTTGGCAGTTAAGTGACTGAAACTTCAGAACATAGGTGAAGGGATGGGATTTCGGGTCGCTTCGAAAAAATAAGCCTCACGTTCATTTTATAAGCCTTCATTCTCAGGATAGCAAGTCATACGTGGCTATGTTAGAGCTGAATACAGCAAAAGTAAAAGATACGGCAGTGAGATACTGTGCATATCTCAAACGATCAAAGGCCATTAGCGGCGCATTCTCAAGTAGGTTGATGATTAAGTTGATTGGAGATGATGTAATTGAATTCATGGCACTTAGGCATTTAGGTGTGTAGATTACCCATCTTCATATGTCGTGTGGCTTCCAGCACTTCCATTCGTTTCTTTGTTCTGCAATCGTCATTCATAGATGTGATCGGTTTGAATGCAGATTAGTTTACACCTGGAGAATTTGTGACGTATATGCCTCAATGATATGTTTGATCCAGATAAAACGTGATTTTCTTGAAAAGCCAAAATAGCCGAGCTAAGACGTCTTCAACTCTTCACCATAGTCAAGGTCCTCTTGAACGAGGGGAAAACCTGCTGTTTTGCGACACAGACCATTCCATTACGACAGCCAATTCTGCGATGGCAGCGAAGTTTACGATTCGTTAAGCGTTTGCTCGAGGATGGTAATGAGTGGAATCCAAAACCCACATACCTGTATCACGTTCTGCCTGTTGATCGTCGAGTGACTCGAGCGGGGCTGGTAAATCTTCCGTTTTTCCCTGTCGCGTGCAAGAGCAGGCCAGTGGTTTCTGCTCGCTCTAGGGAGTCGCTGAGCATTCTACCTTTCTCCCATAGTTTTCAACCACGTTGTTCATTTGTCAACCAAGTCCACATTAGGAACACTAAACTCAATTAAGCACAGGGATATGGGGCGGATAGCACAGTGGTAGTGATACTCGTCATCACGAGCATCGCGCTAGTACGATTCCGATCCGGACCAACCAAGCCTCTCGTCCCTCCGGGATAGGGAAATTGATACCGGACTTGTCTGGGAAAAAATCTCTACAATCCAACAGGGAATGCCCCAGCACGGCTATCTCGGAACCCCAGGAAGAATTCCTCAACCTGCATTCTACGACATTCAGGATGAAATGAAAAACCTCAAGCAGCAACCGAAGCTACACGTAAGATGCGAGAAAACGAATCGAATATGAGAAGTGCTGGGTTCGGCACAGTAGACGTGAAGACGGATAAAATAAAATAAATTTAAAAAATCGCTAAGAACTCGTCGGTTGGAACACCGTGAACAATGACCGTATGGAAATACTGAAGCCTTAAGAAGCCGAATAGATTAAAAAAACTTTCCAATAAGTTTGATAGTGGTATTGAAAGTAAGAGGAGCTCACCGAGACTGTTGTTTGTTCGAGAATTTCCGCGCTCCATCAATGCCCTTTTGTTCGGATTATTAAGAAGTGATCGTTTTGCCAGTGAAATATCAGCAGTCACTCTTGTGATAATAATTCTAAAGTTAAATAAATTTCAATACTGGCTGTGCGAATGAAGTGCTATATTGTGGACGATATGAGTCATGTACAACTTGTAGTGATATCCCATCATGTCGCAACACAGCGGATTTCATTAGTTGAAATAACGATCGTTGGAATCATTATATCCTTGCCAATAAGATATTACTTTCTTATTCTACTAACACAAAATTCTCTTGCATTTTGAAGCGCATACCTTTTGAGCAAAAAAAGTCGCGCTTCTACCAAAATTCATGATTTTCAACTCTTGTGAAGTTCTTAGATCTTTGTGCAGAAAATTTAAGGAAAAATAATACTTCAGGAAAACTACATAACATCTCCATACCATGTTACCCATAACTTTAATGTGAAAATTAAAAAAGACTAAAGATTAAAGACAAGACCAAAGATTAAAAACATTACATTGCAGGTTATTTAAAGGATAGAGGGCAAGGCGTTCGCGTCTCAATTATCCCCAAGAGACAACGATTCCGGGCAACCCGTTAACCCGATCATGGGACCGAACCAACGACCATGTGCATCATAGGGCAGCTCTAACCATGCATTTTCCGCTGATTATGTATTTAGCGATAGGACAAGGTCTCTTCAGCTTCTCAGGTGCTTGGTTATCGAAAAATATTAACAACAACAACAATAAAAACATGAGCATCGTTAGGAGTTTCGTAAAAGTGTTTAAAGCCAGGCGTTTAGATTTCGAGTAAGCGAATCCTAATCTCACATACTCTTGCCTGGTTTATTCGTTAACCACGTAGAAGGTTAGCAATGTGAAGGCTGACAGCAATCTAATGTCTCCCGCCCACAATATTCTTGTTTCAAAGACTTACAAGTATTTTAAAGACAGCATTTTCTATCGGGTACTAAGCCCCAGTGTAAATAATAGGTGAAATGAGAAGAGTAAGAAGATATAGAATAAGAAATCGTCCTTACCGTCCCTCAAATCGATGTTTCAAATAGTCAAAGACGGCCTTCTGCATCATATCGGTCACCTCATAGCCCTTCAGACTTGGTCCTACCAATACTACAGGCCGCATCGACGGCACGACGTCGTAAGGAGGCAAATTTTCTTGCTTAAAATCACATCAGTCTAGTGCTGATTTAAACTCTTGTATACTATCATGGACTGGAGAGCAACCTAAAGCAAAAGTTGAACAGTACCTTCTTGAAAATCAACTTCTTCTTCTCTTTGGTCGGTGGAGTCGTAACAATATTCGTCATTTTCTTGGCGATGGTTTCCTCATCTTCTGAAATCACCAACAGGTTTAATAAGTTGAAGAGAAACTAGCGAACGATTTATCACTAGGAGGAAAGAAGGAAGAAGAAGGAAACAAACCGGGTGTAGGGGGTGTAGAGCCTCTAGAATCGCTGCGGGGCATCATGTTGTCAAGAGCTCCCAAATTCGTCGCCGAGCTGGACTGCTTGCTGAAAAGTGCTCTACAAAGATACAAGGAAATATAGTAAAAGGTAGAACATACAATCGTAGTCAATATCAATGTATGCCAGTGGACTAGTGATGGTAAAATGCGTATTCGAAGGAAGTCAGATAAGAGAGATAGGTTTCTGGATGTAAATAGTCCCAGTTTAGTTGCGAAATGGAGAAAGAAACCGATAAGAGACGATCTGTGGCTACTTCTTTTCTTCAAAAACTATCATCTATGTTAACCACAGTGATGTTAAGATATTTGCAAAACTCCGGACCGCAGATGTCTGCGATGGGGAACGAACATGCTATTACGCTTTTCGGGGGCTGACGCATTCACCACCACACCATGCGGATCCTTCGTCTTGCCTTTCTCTCAGACATGTTTTAACCTATAGGTGCTATCAGCAATCACCCATCAACCGTAGTGATCTGGGGAGCATAAATCGTCATTGAACCTAGTTAAGCTGAAGCTGTAGTATAAAGCGCAATGTAATACTTTTTGTTTACTGCCTATTCTTATTCCGAAAGGATCCGGAAGGAAAAACCCGCATGGTGTGGTCGTGACCATATTAGCCCACGGAAGAGGTAACAGCAGGTTCGATCCCTACCGGAGACATCTGAGGCCTGGAGTTTTGCAAATATCTTAGCACCATTGCGGTTATATTTCACATTATAGCCTACCATGGAAAAAGAATAGAAAATAAATAAAAAGTAATACATTATCGTGCAATTGTCAATTTATCACTAGTCAAAGGTTTTCATAACACTTAAAGTAATGACAGGAAGAATAGAAAAAAGAATCCATTTTTGAAATAACGGCCGTATTAAAGAGAAATGGAAGCAGATAAGGACAAAGAAGAAGAAACAAGAACAACTACAGCTTCGGTTTGCATTAAGAAGTGTAGAAATCAACACTGTAAGCAACCTACAACTTGCCGGCTTTGGCGGTTTGTTGTCGAAGAGATTCCAGTTTCACTGGTGATGGAATGAATCCAAGATCATGACCTTCTTTCACTAATCGACCAATCCACCAATCGTTATTGTACTTCTTAATGTAACGACAATGAAATGGTATATTCACTTTGAGAAGCTCTGAATACGGTAGTTCACGATGCACCATGATTTGTGAAGCACACTAATATCTCCAACGGGTTTTGGCTTGTAAATGGGTGTGAGTTGTAGTTATATGTCGTTTTAATAAAAGTTAAAAGGATAAAGCTCTCGGCATTGATCAGTCTCTGAAGGATGCGCCATGCGTTATACTTCACTAAGCATCCTTTGGAGGTGATTGAATGCATACCCGGCCTTCACAATGACTGGCGGTGGCTTACCGATGCATGCGACCAGTGCTGCTATCCTCCCAGATAATTCTGGTACCAATTTGCCGACCCCGGGGGGACGGAAGGCTTGGTGGGCCCTGGGTACGGAGATCGATTCCACGTGTGTTCCTAGACGCCTACGACCACTGCGCCAAACGCGCCTATTTCTAAGAAGGAAAAAAACTGAAGAGCTGACAAGCGTAGAATAATAAGAAAAGGTCTGTAGAACATTACATATAAGAAGAACTATTCACCTCTTTGATATGTAGAAAATCCTTGACTTTAAACGAGACCGCACATCCGTGCACAGGAGAGTCGTCGTCCAGCGAGCCGTCGTACTCGACATTCGTGCAGATGGCGAAAGCCACCGGCTTGTACTGAAATCACAAATTCATCCACCGAAGTGAAAACCACATGCATTTAAACAATTGGAGATCGAGGAGACGTCCAGTTATTCGTGAGGAGCTTTAAAGAACCTGGCGGCTGGATAGTCCATCTTTGACTTTAATAAAGAGTATGTACAACGTCTACTAATATGCTAATGGATCTTTGAGCCTTCCGTCCCCCCGGTGTCGGCAAATTGGTACCAGACTTATCTGGGAGGATAGCAGCCACCGTCTTTGAATCAGAAACCTCCACTGATCGATGCCGCAATGGAGATGAACACCCCAAAACGGAAAAAGTACCAACAGGTAAATCCATATCAGCACATGAACATGACGAATCCACAACCAATAATCCAGTCGACGAGGTTTGCAATGCGGACCGATCCACCACTCATGAGTGGAGAGTTCTGCACGCCGGTGGATGTGAGGATGAACATTTCATGCAGACCATTCACTTGTCCATTGATAATACATCCAGGAATGATCCTAGCATAAGTCAAAATACTAGCTCATCAAGCCAGGAGAGCACCCAGTCAGCGTCACACGTTGAGAAGTCAACGACAAAAGAGGATGAGGTGCTGTTCCAAGTTCCCGGCTGTCTAAATCGCGTCACTAAGAACAAGGTCACTCTGGATGAGCTTAAATTTCGTATAGCTTCCCTTGAATGTCTGAAGAGCAGCTTTCTCGAGATCTATTTCACACAGGCTACAGCGAAGGCAGTCGGAAAAGAACTGAGAGATAACCTGGCAAAGCACGAAATGTCACTTCCTTCCCGGAGAAGAGAAGGAATAAAGAATACCGTATTCACTTGTTTGCTTGAAGAAGCAACACAATGCTAGCGTGACATACACACCACTGTTCAGCGACATTATCCAGCGCGTCCACTAATTGAAATGGCAACAAGGAAGACGATCAGCCATTTGGAGGAAAAACAGTGGGATCTCATTGGAGCTATACAAATACTGCATGACTTGAGCAGTTTAGTGAATAGCACACAACTAGCCAGCCACATATAGAACAATGCTCTAATACATAATGAAATTGAAGTCGAAATGAATCATTTCAGCTTTGTAATCCCATTTGTACCCATATTAATCAACCCATATGGCTTAATGCTTCCCCGAACTATGCCAAAACGACACTTTCCATATATCAGTCGTGGGATGGAACCAGTGAACCTACAGGACACTCACTAATCAACTTATGCAGAAACATAGTTCAGGAAGGGAGGCAGTACGACATGGAATACAGACCGGATTCTGCGAAAGACAGAAGTGGTTCTCTCAAGTTATCATTCCATTATTCATACATGAATTGTTCTTAGCGCAGTGCTTAGAGGTACTTTGCAATGTATAGCAGATTGGTCCGTAGTTAGAATCCACACTCCAAACCTTCCATCGCTATGGAGTCGGTTAAATGGTACCAGATTTCTTTGGGAAGATAAGAAACATTAAGTTTACACATCCTTACGAAGCTGCGAGTCACTGTATAGGTTATACACCGATCTAGTAGATAATGGTGTCGACTGCAGTGACGCATCGTTCATGAATTTATTAACGCCTAGCGTTTTATAGAATTAGGCGACTGTTCATATGGTGTGCGTGTCCCAGAACTTATCGCATCCGATTCGTTGCGTTTTGAACGCCAAACACGCATATGGTCAGAATTGTGCGCCAGTTCGGTTGCAGCTTCAGGATCTGCCACCTATTTTCCTCATTGGTAACGGAAATATCGACTGAGCTTCTTGATCTCCCTGAATTCCGAGATAGTACCGAAACATTCCCGAGGGCTAGATTCTTCCAGGAGGGCAGTGATTCCTATGACCGTATCGAACCTGCTTTGATGCGGCTTCCGGGTTCATTGGTGACAGCAAGTGTTTTTAGTGACAACATAAAATAGGTGTAAGCAATGTTACGCACTAGTGATCACAAATGTATATAAATACGGTCGTTCATAAAACAAATGTTCTTTAAAAACGGGCTCTCATTTGACCTTGACATGAACATCGCTTCTCATTTTCTATTTTGTTACATTCATAAGCTCACACGAGTTTTTTTTTACTAAAACTCTTTACTATAGTGGTGGACTCGACTCCAATGCAGTGAACTATCTCAGGAATGGACTCTATTCATGTGTTCTTCCGTCCTACAGGCTTTGACTCCCTACGACGACGAACATCCACATTGCAAGAAACAACTGCGAACGATCGACTACAATCATTCTAACTCTAAAGGCGAGTGCGCCGAAACGTTAGCCACAATAACGTTTTTAGTGATAACATTGTTTAAACGCTTGAAAATAACATAACAGAACAAAGCTACCTTTCAGTCAAAATTTTTGTATAAGCTCAAATGTCAGCCCTGACGAACGACGATAGGATCACTAAACTTTCAAACATGTCATGGAATTGGTGATGGAAAAGTTCTACAGCAACCTTTCTCGTTGGTGATGCTTGTCAATTGGTTGGTGCTGGCGAGTAAAGCGAAAGAACTTCAGAAAGGTGACAAATAAAGTCAAACCAGTGAACGATTTTCCTTATTTACTGCTTTTTTGGTAAGCACACATGAGGTTGTTACTTTACTCTTTATCCATAAAAGCTGATGTTTCGGCGGATTTCGACTCCTTCAGAGCCTGGAAAGATCAAGTCGACTGTAATCTAGTCAGCCGAATACCTCCATAACCCCAACAGAAAAATCTTTATGATTGAAAAGTGTAGTAATAACCCCGTGTGTGCTCATCAAGAAAACAGAATTATTGATCGGTGCCGAGGTCAACAGAAATACGGTATTCCGAATTTTCTTATTCACTTTAATCAAAAAAGTTACGTCGAGCACAATCTAAACAGTGTGCAGCTCTAAGCACGACACCACAAGGCGCAGTCAAGACGAATTAACGTATGTCAGCACTTACGAAAACTTCAAGAAGTGTCGTGCACCTACATCGGCTGACGGCACGAAATTGCTCATAGCCGACAATTAACCGGGACAATTCGAGGCCAACGGACAATAATCGAAAACCTCCACCGACGGTGATCATGTCGATCACTTCTAACGAGAAATGGCATAGATGACAGTTCCCGTTAAGAAGTATTGAAGAACGACGAAAATCAGTCAGGAATGTCGAATACACTCAGATTTATATTATAAAAAAATCCGTGAGGTAACTGCAACAGAATATGATGATGGGTATTTAACCAAGAACGGTACGGTAGCGGTGTACTGGCGAGTCTCATAAAAACTCCCACATGCACAATCGCAACGAATTCAAGAGGACTCTGCGAAAGGCAGGGATTTTTTACCGAAAGTCACATCTGGGGTCGACTTTTTCGGATAAAGTTCTATCAGAGTAGGGAGATGTTTTTGGAATTACTTCGGGAAAAATGCTTCCAAAAATTTTGGAAAAAAACCGACGAGTTCGATAATCCAACAGTCACACCAATCAGTGAGTAGTAAGTGTAATATTACTCTGGGATTATTCACACCTTAACTTTTATAAATCTGTATGACAGGGTGTTAATCAACTATGTGAGAAATACATTGAGGTGCTACTGAGTTGCTCTCAGGATTGATTACGGTAGGATTCAAAATAACGCGTTTTTTCTTTTTTCCCGTAGATCTTTTTCTCCTCAATAATTTCAAACAATAAATGTATTTTATTTCATTGTCGAGTTAACACAAAGGTTGTTACCAAACATTTATTCGGCTAACGTTTCGACATCTTCGTATTCCTCAGAGGACCACCGACTCGGATCACCGGCTCTGAGGAAGACGAAAGGGTCGAAACGCTAGGCGAATAAATGTTTGGTAAAAACCTCGTGTTAGCTTGTCAATGAAATAAGGCACATTGATCGTTTACACCGAAGTTAAATGAAAGCCGGTCCAGATAAAGATTTAAGCTTGAGAAACAGTGTACGTCTATTAAGAAAAGCAATATTCAAGATGAAATACACTGCAGTATAACAGAAGGCATAAGGTAAGGAAGGATATGAGAAAAGATTCTTGGAATGAACTCCAGACACAAAGCTCATGAAAGCGATTCGAGGACTATTAAGAGTGATCTATCGCTTCATAAAGAAGTGCAGAACTTTCAACGATTGCCGATAGCACCAACTGGATAAATAGCACCTGAGCCCCTGGAAACGGTAATTACTGGTTCGAAGCCTAAATGAGGATCCGAGTTTTGCTCATAACTCATCATTCTTGTAGAGTGGCTTCTATTTTGGTTCTATAGCATGCCAATTCATGGTTCGAGCAATTATAGAACTATATCACTTTCCTGGTGTACGTGTAGCGCCTGGCTTTGAGGTGTTCTACAACACAAACATAGTCATCGGCATAATCGATGGGCCCCAGACAAAATAGCCCTCGGCACATTGATACCAGGCTTAGCTCGGAGAATGGAAATGCTGACAAGACCCATCGGTAGGCGACCACTATTCATTGTATAGGCCAGATATACCTTCAATTACCGTTGTGATTCTGGAAGTCCTATGCATGACGCATGGCTAAAGGGCTGATCAATGGCAAAGGCTTTTTCCTTCATTCACCGGAACAAAAAAACTACAAAACATTTCTGACATAGTGAAGGAGCGTTCAATCTACTCACAGATGAGCAATTTACAAGTAGTAAACGACCGACCTTAGCTCTTTCAAGTTGAAGCGCGGCCTGGCGTTCAGCGTCTCGTCGTAATGTCTCCCGATTGCCGGCCTCCAGCTCCACATCGTCGTCGTGGTGGCTGTAGTTCGAGTCGGCGCTTTCCTGAATTCAGTTAAAGTTCTCACTATGCTCGTTTTGATCTGAAACATTAATGGAGCACAATGACGGAACTTCCTGAACTATTTTTCATTTTGGAAGAATGTGCTTGTGTTAGAAACCATGTTTATTGAGTTTGAGGTACCAAACGTGACCGGACCTCAGCTTAAAGGTTCTGCCTAATTCAAAAGATCGGCCTTCACTTAATAATATCAGCATTAGAACCAATCTGTTTTAGTTCTACGGACTCTCCTCCATGAGCTGAGCAGCATGCGGGTGATGTCACTCTTTAAAAAACGAAAACGGCGGGCGCTTCTTAATAAATCAGGGTTTGGCTTGTACACTTGACTTGGTTGTCATGATCCTTCATTAAGACTGTAAAATATTCCTCGAATAAGATTGTCTAAAAATACGCCCAGGTTCTGAAAAATGCGAAATCGCCAAACCGTTAGCTGTTTGAATGCAAAATAAAGGTTAAAAATCTCGTGTCAGGTCCAAGAAGGGACAGCTCGCAAAATTAAGAGACGTTCTACTTTAGAGATTTGGCAACCAGCAACAAATAAGGTTGTCTTTTGAAAAGAGGGATTCCCACATTTTAGATGTAACGCTTACTAGTTCTCGCATTAAGGCAGTTGGCATAAGAACTCCCACCACAAGGGTTATCAATTTTCTCAATTATCCAGCCGGTAGATGGTGAAAAAAAAGTGAAACTGGAAAAGGTAAACTTCTACGTCAACGAACTTCCACCGAAGGAATGACGATGGTATTACTGTAAATGAACTGACCGTAATCTCATACGTTTGTGGTAGAGCTTCCACTCCACCTTTATGTGAAAATCATGATGAAAAAAGCTTTGCTTTTATAAAGTAAAAAATCTTTTTAAAGCTTTTATAAAACACGCTAGAAAATCATAAAAAGTCGAATATCTCGAAACGGCCGTTTTTATGTGTTTTGGCTACTGTACCTCCCACAACATGTTTTCCGTTCTTCATCAGCTGATTATTTCATTACTACGCAATGCTCGGATCAACAACAGTCACTCATCACCCTTTCGATAGGAAAGGTCGAACTTGACAGCGAAAGTGCGAAAGAGGAATGGGAATCGCGAACTGAGATGAGAAAAAGAGCTGGGGATGTTAAGCGACACATTGGACGCTAACGTAATCGACAACCCGACACAACGGGGAAAACGTGATGAGACTGGGGGAAGTGACGAAAACCATTAAAAAGACGAACCCTTCGATTCCGATGCGCGAAGCCGGCCATGGCAGGCCGCTCGACGGCGCACTGAAAAGTAGCGAAAATCGGACACGTTCATCAAAACGAGGATACGAAGAGGTTCGCGATAAGTCGCAGTCGAAGAGGACGAAATCTATGACGACCTCAATGCTCTTCTGAAAAGCAGCGACAGAGCGACGAACACAAAACGACATGATATTAGAGGGAGAGAGAGAGAGAGAGAGAGAGAGAGAGAAAGAGGGAGAGAGAGAGATCCTCTCAAGAAGCTGAGAGTGAGAAATGTAAGAGCTATGAAGAGGAATCGCCTTCGAGAATGTGCACGCATTCATTCATTGAAATCTCGACACTCCGGAAAATAGTAATCGGATTCGCATGGATTGGTCCTTTCCGAACTTCTCAGTCGATGTTCGCTGGACGTTTAAAGTGTTTACTGCATATTTCAATGTGGGACAAAAGGACACATTATTGGATTTCACTTGTCACTTCGCCACCACTAATGCAATTTCGCTGTAGAGCAATTCTGAAGGGCTATGAAGATTGCAAATGACTTGTGAGGAGCTGAAAAACTCTGAGCACCACTTGGGACCTTCTCCGTCAGTAGAAACAACCAGCACCGAGAGTCACAGCTGGGCCAATTGACGCCGCTCCGATGGGACTTGATCTGGCTCGTCATCGATTGCTTGCTGAGCACGGCGAAGCTGGTGGGCGGGCGTACGGAGAAGCACAAGAGAGCCGCACCGCGACCGCCCGCCCTGCCGCCGCCGGAGGGCATGCGGCGACGGCCGCGCGCGCTACGATCTGGCCGCATCCGCGGCGCTTCGACCGGGTCAGGTGCTTCTTCGTTGACATCCAGGGTGACAAACGACGGGAACGCACACTGCGTAGAGTTGGTTGAATGACACAGAAGTGGTCCCAAGTCAAAGAGCACATTCTGCAGCTGTTCCCAATAACATGAAGTGCTAGAGAGTAAAGCAACCGGAGTAGATCTTTCCCATGTGGATGCTTAGAGCGTCTGCCTCCGCTAACTGTCGTAGAGGTAAATGGGTGCATTTTGGCCTATATGATGACATGCGAAGGCGTGGCGATGTATCAAGTCAATACATTTATACTTCCAGACAACTTACTTGTATACTTGGACGGTCCGTCTTTACGAGCTGTGCGGAACCCAGCACATATGCCATTCGTTCCTTTCTCTCGCAATCGCAGTCCATGGTGGTGGTCTTGTTCGAGCATGGCAGCGCTTGCGAGTCTCATACCGTGATCTGTATAACAACTGCAACTGCAGGTACAGCTGATTAACTTTGTTTACGAACACGTCCACCCAACGTGTAGGTGGTCGTCCAAGAGAACGTTTGCATTCTCTTGGAGTCCATTCTACTGTTCTTTTCGTCCATCTGCCGTCGGCTCTTCCCATCATGTGACCGACCCATCTATGTTTCGCTTCTAGACAACTACGGTACCAAATTACGGATACTAACGAGACTGAGAGCGTAGCTTTACCGTGAGGTTGAATTGAACAGGAGACCAAGCATGCATTGCAGGGCACCCTTATCCACCGCGCTATATGTCCCTGTTTTCAGATGACCATCCAAAATTCTCTTTGATATCAACCTAATTCGTCTTGGAGTTCGTAACCACTATACACCGAGATAGGTCTGGGTATTGCGTTGATAATTCAAATTTGGATAAATCTAATCCCTGTGCTCTCAGTTATTCGAATACCAGAAAATTCGATAGATATGTGAGAGTTTTAAACAAGGACAGCAACGAATATGACTGTCATCTTTGTAGCGTGTAAAGACTTCTTCAGCACTTCAAGATGGTTCTATGAAAAACCTCGAAGTCTGTAAGGCCAAAATTTTTTTGGTTAATGAAAGCGTAACACTGGCTGGGTTGTAATGTATTAACTACAGTACGTGTCGTGGGATCCGACGGTTTAATGTCTTGTTCTGTGAATAAGTGCCTAATACAGCTCGGATTCATCTAAACGATGTAATCTTGGATGAAATGAAGAAAAAACCAGGAAGCGTTTGGCGTTGACCTGCTGCTTAGGGATTCTTCATGCTTTCGGCTCTATCAAGCTTGGTACTGGTGGATGAGTTCATACTTAGCATATACATTAACTAAAACCAACCTAACGGTGGATCATGTCTTTCTACCTTTAGTGAGGTCCGGTATTAATTTTCGGATTACGGAAGAATAGGGTACATCGTTATTCGTGTTATGGAATCAAGTTAATGACGACCATATGCATTGCAAGAGCATCCAAAAATTGTACTATACTTGCTCTGCAGATGGAATGAACCTGGACACATTGAATGCCTAGCTTTAGGCAAGGAAATATCATGAAACATCGTTAGTTTGGCAGGAATTCAGTGGTTACAAGATGGTCAGTTTCCATCGACTCACAGCTGCATGTGGTGGTGATTCGGAAAACTTTCGTGCTGAGTTCCTAAGGGTTTGGAAAAGAACTTGCCAATCAAGAAACCCACCTGTTATATGAAAAACTATGCTGAAGTCTGGTTCTTCGTAGAAAGCATTTGATTGAAGTATCGACTAAGTTACACGAGGTGATTCAAATACCACCATAGGTGGAGCATTAGTTTACAGAGCTGATTCCATGTGGTTTAGAAGAAATAACGAATTCCGAGCTGAATACTGGCATTATCTAGCCAGTTCATTTGTATAACCAGTTGAACAAACAGTAAATCTCCCTCTTTCTGTCAATATGTCACAATTTTAAGGATGAAAAATGTAATGCTTTGCTCCGCATGGCTATTGACTACTGCAAAGAGAGTGAGGCAATTCGCGAGTGAGGCCAACATCGTCTTGTTCTGACGTTTGGTGAATTAGTAGCAGATTCTCTATCGGGACATCGAAGATCCACATCGATCACAACTCGTTTAAGGTACACTTCCGTTGAAACGAAAAGCCAATTGTGGCACTACCTGAAGAAGCTCCCGAAATTTCACACAAAGATCACAATTACGTCTCCACCTTCCCACGGAATGTCCCACATCTTTGAACAGTTTTATCTTTTTCTCTTTTTCACGAAAGCCTGCAAAAAGGAAGTCTAGTTTGCGGTGAGGAACGAACGCGCTGTTGTCCTTTCGCGGGAGTAACGCGTTCACCACCACTCCATGCAGGTCCTTCATTTTGCCTGTCTCTCAGTTAGTTCGATCGATCACTGCCATCAGCAATTACTCGTCAACGGGATTGATCTGGGGAGCCCAAATCGACATTGAACCCAGTTAAGCTGAGGCTTTAGTTACCAATCTTAACCGTTTTGTTTACTGCCTACTCTTTTTAATTGAACGGTATATTGCGAATAACTTCAATGATGCTGAGATATTTGCAAAACAAAAAACCATTAAAAGGCCAATCAGTTTAACTGGGTTCAAAGCCGATTTGGGCTCCACAGATCAATCCCATTGACGCGTGATTGCTGATGGCAAAGATCGATAGCTGAGAGACAGGCGAAACAATGGACCCACATGGTGTGGTGGTGAACGCGTTACTCTCCGAAAAGAACAATAGCGTGTTCGTTCTCCGCCGCAGACAACCGTGGTCCGGGGCCCGGAATATTAGACCAACAGTCCTAGAAAATTTCTGAAAGATACTGATCGGCTCTTTTTCTACAAAAAAAAAAGCATTTCTACGAAGCTTCACCATGTGAGAGGACTCCAGGCGGCAGTTTTCGGAATCGTAATTGAAGCAAAATTACTATATTTATACGTGGAGGCAACAAACCGACGTATTAGAAGACCAAGAGGTCACTTAAATGTTTAGCACAATCACATAAATATTTATTCGTTTTTTCCTCACATAAAGTCATCCAGACAACGACACTTCCTTGGAGATCGTCACGAACGCTACCCCGATTAGAGTAAGGCCATAAGCGAACGACAGCAGCACCAGGTTACGGCGACCCTGAAACAATGAAATATTCAGCCCATGCACTTAGTCTTAGTACCAAGTACGATAGGCTATTCATATGAATTTGATCTGGATATGTCGCAAGAAGAATGGAGATGAGAAAGAAAAATTATTATGGATACGTGGTGCATGTTGATCTCATAAGATTACATCCTAACTTTCTGAGGAAGGAGGAATAACTATAGCAGACAAGAGCAATGATGTTTTTAAAAGTAATTTCCACTTGAGGAGATAGGTTGACGAAGGCTTGAATTAGCACTAAACTGTTAAAACTGAAATTATAGGACGCAAAGCATTCAGTGGCCAATAAGGAGTGATACTCGAACACTCGACGAGGAGTGATACTCTTACACTCAAAGTAAGCTTCCTAAAGATTCTTCAACTTGGACTTCTCTAACATCTAGAATGATTAAACAGTTTCGAAAAGGAATACGGTCTATATGCAGTAGCGTATTTATTTCAGTTACCGTAATTTCTCTGAAATACAGTATGCTCCACAGTGAGACGACCAAACCAGGCGCCATCGAGCAGATCGGATACGCGACGGCGGCTTGCAGACGGTCGATGGCGATGACGAACGACGTCATGGCGACGGCAAAGATGGCACCGGCAGACATCGACGGCAGAATTGCGGAGGCGTTCACCCACGGATCGCTACGCCTGGAAGCCAGACATGGACCAGCCGAAAATTCTGCGACAGAAATTCTTTTTCACTCAAAAGCAGGTTATAAAGTAAAGCTCAAGAAAATACATAGGTAAAATGTTGCAGCAGGCTTTGTTGTCTCTAATTGAAGTTTTATCAATGATGATAGGCATGGTGCAGCGGCGTTAGTTAGAGGCAACGTTCATTGCATGTACATCAAACCACTTCCTGTCATCGTTTCCCATTTCGCCTTCGTTTTTCCTACGATAAGACTCTAAACAGCATTTCAATAAAGTTCTCATGGTGGTCCTCACAACGGTTTACTACCGCTGGGAGGTGTTCCTGGGTGTTGGACTGCGATATACAGTGGGGGGATTCATCTTCCTGGCAGGGTCTTCCAAGCTGAGAAGGAGTCCGGCATTTCCATCACGAAACCTAGCTAAAAGTAAACCAATACTAGGATCCACCACCGTGCTATCAAAGTCGCATGGTGGCAAATCTCCCTCTGATCCACTAAGGCGGCGACTACCTGCGGTGGTGACGACCTGGAGCAGACTTTAGCCAGGCCGCCCTCGGCATTCCAGGGAACCACTATGGCTTGGCCAGCACATCTCCGAAAAATGGAGATTATGGTGAGGCCCGCACAACCATGCCTTAATGGTACACGGACTCCCTATGAACCCTTAGGACGACGGAAATACAGAATCCCATTGACCATCGTCAAGGGTTCTACTGAATGGTACCATGATGTTCTGTACAAAGAAGTCGTCCAGTAGATGGACATTCCTAGCGTTTTTTAATGCAAAGATTTTTATCCTATATAATAATACAACTAGATATAAGCCGAAATTAATTAGGACAAGAATTTGATTATAAAGTGGATTTCAGGGAACTCACTTCACTATCGAATAGACTGTGAAGATAAAGACAGAAGTGCAAAGCACTCCAATGAAGAACGAAAACAAATAAGGTAGGCTCTCATCTGAAGCACCAGAGTAGTCTTCCAGATGGTTCTAAAGTCCTCACTTCATTACCATATCACAGAACTAAATATTTATTTATGTGATCGTATAAATTGATCTTCTTAAGCTGACGCGAGGTTGGTACAGGTCTTCGTTGTCGTTGTTTTGCGGGACCGCACGTAACATTACGGCTTTGAGGAAGGCGAAGTCGCCGAAACGTCAGCCATCGACCAACAACACCAACAACAACGACAACGGACAACGAAGACCTGTGCCAACCTCGCGTCAGCTTAAGAAGATCAGTTTATAAGATCACATAAATAAATATGTCAACTATCTATGACGAGGTTTATAGAAAGTCGGTCTTTCGAGTTGTTAACAGAACTAAATCTCTTCATTCCATGTACTCTAGATAAAGAATGACGAATATAAAATAATGACTTAAAAAATGTAAATGTTGACTTAAAGAATGCAAATGTACATCTGCATATTTATTTATATGTACATGATAAAGGCGTAGGACAGGAGCTAGTGTGCCCTTAATGGGATGAAATGAGTTTAACTCGACGTTCCTTTCCATATTTCTCCTCGCAAGTGAACCTTCCTGAGATGTTTATGACAAAAATGGTCTTGAAGAAGTCCAAATACTTCGGAGCGTTATTCATGTCATAATATATTAACGACATCGACTATCAGCTCATCATGCCTGCATGAAATTGTTGACGAATGTCGTAAACAGCCAAAAGTCAGTCTTGGAGACTATGATAGAAGCGTTATATTAGCCATCAAATGGATTTTTTTGTCTTTTAAGGTAAAATATTTTTTGAGGAAAAAATTGGATTTTTTTCTACAAAGCAATGTGCCTAAAATATGTTGGCAGTATGACTGGTAGTCGTTGGAGAAGTAATCTAGAAAGAGTAACTCTGCTGGGTACCAGGTCTAATCGAGTCAGATAAAGGTGCGAGTTTCTTGTGGATCAGTCTTGGAAAGGTTAAAGCCACATAAAGCCATAGTGGGGAGTTATTAAACGATTTGGATTTTTGCAATGTTTAGAAAGTTGCCGTATACATAGTCAATATATTTCTAGAAGCAACATGCATGAAATTGTATTAGGTACCACGTCTAAATTATCCGTCAACGAGAAGATTCCACTTGAATTTGGTCTGAAAGCATGGGAGCGTTGTACCCGACACTGTTTCGGAATAAGAATCACAGTTTGACGTAAGCTGTTTTCTTTATTCGGATGAACGTTAGTACCGCTCAGCTGTTCGGAGCACCGCACGCGACACATCCTGGGTCCTGCACCGACTGTTCGTTCCATTGGAAAGGGACAATCAGTTGTGTCCTGTAGCTTATCACATGCCAAGAACTGCTCCATAACAACACATCTGTGCGCTCATTTATACGATCCGACTCCACATATTGTGCCGACGACAACTTTCATAAGATTCGTCGTTCCCCATTCGTCATCGTCTACGAAGGTTCTCAGATCTACGTGTGTTCAGTTTCTATCTGAGGATATTGTCACTTTTATGATCGTAGTTGGACGCAGGTAGAGTTTTTCTGAAGTCGTCGGATAGCTCTATTAAAACGTCCCATGGTCTTCAAAGTAGCCACCGGTCTCTATGACATGGAGAGAGCTTTTCTTAAATAGCTGTGGTACCAGTTTGCTGACACTGGCGGAATGCCAAGCTTCGTTGCACTGGTTTGGTCCAACAAGAGCCATATATGCTGCATTGCCCGACACCTGTAACCAATGCTTCTTCCGCGTCCCAGAATTACTTAATAGTAACATAAAACATTTCTGTTTATGAACGAAAAAGTGCTAGATTTAATGTAACGTGTAGTAGCTCGCGTTCTCGTTCACATATAAGTGGTTTGCTTTCGATACCTTCAAACTCTCACAACCCAAAACCGACAAGCGCGAACGAATACAGGCTTTAATGTAAAAATCACAATCACTAAACTTCTTGTAGCATTATTTTGGAAGCCGACTATCCTGTAACTCCCGCATAATTAGTTAACATGTGTTTAAATTGTTCAGCTTACTCAAGGTTGTTATATGAATTTTATTCGGCTTATGTTTCGACGTCTCTCTTTTCAGCAGAGCCAATGACCCGAGTCGATGGTCCACAGTCGTTTGTCTTCTCGATGTGGAGTCTTCGGCCATGTATCGAGTCGGATCATCCTCAGTGTAGCGTCTCTCCAGTGAGGCACACTCACCCGGCGACGCTCTTTTATGAAGGATGCTGGCTGTTGACAATAATGAATGTCCGGTGATAAAAACTTGTTCTTCGCAGACAGATTTTTTTCGCAGTATTGCTAGAATTACAGTTAGGGCATATTTCTTCCATTTTTCGGTTATTTTCTTAGGATTTACACCCGCCACTTCCCAAGTTTACAGCGACATCGGCTAGGCATTTCCTATGAAATTCAGGAGTTCTCAACACAGCTGGCTCCACCTGTGTACAGAACACCTTGTCATCCATGGAAACGCTTTTTTTTGCAGAAACACTACAATCCGCAGGCTAAATGTCTCAATTCACAACGAATTATGGTAATTGAAAGAATATGTTAATCAACAGTTGAACACATTCTGGTAAACGCACCTTCATGTAATTCACCGGAATCCACATCATCCCGTAGCACAATCCGCTCAGCATTGCTGCCACGAAGCTACTGAAAGTGCATCGATAACAACATGGGTAATAATAACAATGACATTAATAACAGTAGCGATAACAACACTGGGTTTTCCAGAAAGCTTGGCATCGTTGCTGAAGCTTTCTCTGGTGGATCAGCACGAATTCACGTGAGATGTTGACTGACTCATCGGTCTTCAGACAATCCTATTTACGTGGGTACTTGGAATTAAATCTGCTTGATTAACTGGATATTGAAGAAACCTATCCGGCTTTTTATAGACTCGAAGTTACTGTGGAATCCTGTCTGAAAGCTGTGGCTTTTATATTTTGTCATGTTTCTGTATCAGGCAGCATTCGTAAAAGACTATCGCTGATTACGGGGCGCTCAGGCGGGGAAGTGCAGAGGAGGCGGTCGGCTTAATTCCTATTACACTGCATTCAATAAAGTTTTGTGGCTTCCTTTTGGCCATAGAGAAAACTCGCTTCACCTCAGAGACACGAGTTTTGAATCTTATTCGGTTGAGAGTGATCGTTTGTAATGGACGTACCCGATCCGTTCCGCTAATGAGAGTTTTCGTATTTCCTCGTCAACCATCGGAATATCAAATGCACATTGCTGAACGAGCTCAAATTCATATGAGAAGTTCGATGAAGAGCAGGTGAAAACAAGTTAAACTGTAGTGATTGATACCTTTCTAGTTCAGGTTTTCATTCTACGATTCTTGTTTGGCATACAGAACTCACTTTCTTTTCAGCAATGAAATTCACTGTTGAGTCAGCCGTGCTGATCCGCTCATTAGACTTCACGAACATGTACATTGCACCTCTAAAATTCGCTGCGTGTAAGGAAGAGAACTTTGAGCCGATTCGAAAAAACGGAATAAAGTTTTGAAGACATTGTCAAAAAGGCGCATGTGGCGCAGTGTTTATAGGCGCCTCGCAATACACACAGGGCCACTGGTTCAATCCTGCAGTACGGTCAAACCAACCCTTCCGTCTCTCTAGGATAAGAAATTGGTACGGGACTTATTTGAAAAAATAAAAACACTAATTAGACACATTGCTAGACCAGTGGAGGTAATTGTACAAGCTAGATATGTATTCAGTCACCTTTAACGATGCTTGATGAAGTCGAATTCATGATGATCGCTCAGTGATTGATCAACGTCGAAAACTTTAACCTTGATAATAGGCTGAGTTTTCAACGCCATTTGCCTCATCACTTTCATTCTCTCGCACTTTGAGCCTTTTCTTAGGTGATAAAGAATTTATGGAAATAAATTCCTAGCTGAATGCTCGGTCCCGTTTCGAATTTTTAACAAAACGCTGGATTGACTTTGTTTTGAAATGAAGTTTTTCGTGGGAAATACTCTCGCAACTACCGTATTACTCGCAAATTGAGGCTTCTAGGTATAAGGAAGCAGAAAAAAAAATGTGTGCCTACTTCGCCACTACCCCCGTAGCACCTAGGACTTAGTCCTCATCAAATCACTGGCGCAGCTTCTCCGCATGCCAATTCTCAGAGTAAAAGACTCACGGAAAGAAAAGCAATTTAAGTGTATTACTGAACAGAAAAGAGGACTTAGACGATATCGTCAGCTGTCGCTCAATCTCTGTGCTGCCTGTCAACTATAAATTCTTCACTAAAAAGCATGCACATTCACTGGAGGAAGGAGAGCCACGTAAGCTAGCAGGGTTTCGAACAGGATTCAACAAGATGGACCGCATACACACGGCGACAAGGCTCATTGAAGTATCGCGAGAGTACAAAGGACCGCACTGTATCACTTTGACTATCACATACTGACTATGAAAAAATTCTTTATGAGTTTTTTTCACAAAATCTAATTACTTAACAATGTTAAAATCGAAACTAGGACCTTCTCCAAGGATATAATTATAAGTTGAAGGTCAACACCCTCTAACAAAAAGATGCGCCACCTCCATTGTGAAGAGTGTGATACAAAAATCGTAATGGGATGAGATGGAAGCGAAATTCGATGGCCAGCATCAAAACCATTTTCGTTCAGCTAATGACATAGTTCTTTTAAAATAAGAGCTCAATTCTTGTTAAGTGAAGTTTCTTACAAGATTAAGAGCTAGCCAAGCGAGACGAACCGATTTTTAGAGGGAAAAATCAAGTTTAATATCCATGAAAAGCGTATCCGTTTCTAACGTCACATCCATGGTGAACTGAACGAATACTTTCGAATACGCAAGGAATGTGGGTATGCCTATGAGAAGTCAACATAAACTATATGGCTTCAATACATAAAGAAACAGGCGACTTTTAGAGCTTACTAAAGCCGTGATGTTGTGAATAGAACAAAAAACACCCAGCTCTATGCTCATTTCTTCGGCTTTTTGATTCTTCCCTCTTTAAGGGATGGATACCCGAATAAAACGGAAGCGCAGCGAAAACCATTCAGTGTTATTGAATGCGATATTGAAATGGTGTAACTAGGATAACTTCACACCAACTAAGTGAAGGACAGAAAACCTGAAGTTCTGATCATAGGTTAGACACATTACCCGGATGTCGTCAGCGATCGCGTTCTACGGAATGTTACACGTACAACAGAAGGGCTACCAACTCGCGAGCCGGAGCTTTCAAGAAAACCGTAAAAGATCCTAGAAGAGTCCCTACCGAGCAACTCTCATGCACGACGGACAAATGGAGACTTTAATTGCGCAGATTTGGATCGCTATACGATCGATGAAAGGAGAACTGATAGAAGTAAAGTTGTGGGCATAAAAATCGAAGTGTGAGCCATATTCCATGCGACCTGTAGTGACCTAAATAGGGGCATGCGTGTGAGCCACAAGAACCACAAATGTCTTACACCGTCTGCACTTTGTAAAAGAACAGCTTACCCAATGATGAGCAGTGTAATTCCCATGTAATTCAACGTGAAGCTTGCCGGATAAGCTGCTGGTAACCCGAAAAGGCCGTACCTGAAAAAACGAATTCTGAATTCTTGTCTTCATTCTTCCATCTACTTACTTTTTGGCCGGACACTTTGTGATTTAGAAAACAAACATATAGGTTTTTTTGAAACGTAAATAAAACACGTTTTTTTGAGAATATATTGGATGAAATACACTGCATAGTGTATGATCGCAAAAATAAAGCTTGATAGTTATCATGGTAACGGCGCACTGTGCGTTTTTTGATGCGGGATCACTTCATTCTGCTCTACTACGGGCAGGGTTGAAATCCTGAAAAAAAGCGCGGGAAGAATGAAATTTTGAGTTGAAATTCTATGTACGGAACGAGTTGTTATACTATTCCCGAGACGTCGATGAATTAGTCGAAAGATTAATTGTTCGTAGAATAGTGACGGTTATCTTGGAAGAATCCAACTCCACATACAGCAATTTTTCTCCGATCCACAAGGCGGGTGCCTATAGAGAAGACTTAGGAATGTTCAAAGACGGTTATCCCCGGATTCCAACGGATATTATGCTCCATGTCTATGAAAAGGGAAGATCAGACGAATAGCATCTAAATCTACACGCAATTTCGACTACTTTCATGATGACGACTGCAAGGCAACGGAGCGAACTGCGAAACGGTTGTGACTAGCACAACATAAGAAATTGACCAACTAATTGTATAAGTGTATAAAACCAGGAGACGTCAACATTTGCTGAAGGAACACAACAGCCCAGTTCTTTCGTTTGGTACATTCGCATTGGTTCCTGTGAAGGAATTCTGAAGAGATCATATGGGAATTTTAGTCTAGAACCGCACTAGTGCAGACTTCGGCTGACAAGTAGAACGACTTACTTCCTTTTTTCATCCATCCAGTTTATTTTCCACGCCATTTTTTCATTGCATTATCACCAGTGAAGACTTTGTACATTTTCACAGCGAAATTAAATTTTTAAGCACTAAGCCCTGAATGAGTCTGGTTAAAATATTATTGAAATAAAACAAAAATGTATAAACTCATCATAAAAAATGTTCTCCGTTAGGAAAAATTTCGCGCTTGACGGAGATGAAGCAACAAATAGCATTTGTGCTGTGACGTTGCTGCAATACCTCACCTTGATGTTGCCCATCCAGTCAGGCAAGACAAGGTGTTCCAGACGAGAATCGAAAGCGCCATGCCGAGGCGATTCATGATCTGGATCGCGAACGCATTAGCTGCAAGGAGAAGTTATCGGGAGCACAGGATGGCGAAATCTACAGAGCCCACCGGTGGCCCAGAGGGCTCCTCCGACCACGGCGAATCCGTGTAGAGCTGGAAAGCCGAGTGCCGCATGGACCACCGTGCTCGTCACGAACCCACCAACGCAGAGGAAGAATTGAGCTGCGAAGCCTTAAAGCAGTCCCTACAAAACTCTTGTCTTTTCTTGTTTGGTTCGCGACATGTTGTTGTCTTAGTGATCATTGATGTAAATTTTTTCTCATTTTTAGCATTTTCGAGTGTAGCATAAAATTATGCCGTATTTTTGTACTGCGTAGTATTTTAACCTGATCAGCATATTTTGCCCAGTCACCGCATGAGAAATGAAAAGGTACACAGCAAGGACTAATTTGAGTACCAGGACATTCAGGCTCGTTATTTGTTTAGAAGTTTCGATCTAGAAGCCGGGTCAAATGAAAATCTGGAACAGGGATAGTCATTATTTCTCTATTATTATAACGTGATCCAACATAACATCTATCACAGTGATCCCAGGACGTCTAGCATTCGATTCCTTTCCTCGTGTTCTCCATCAGCAGAGGTCTTTGAACTTTTTTTTTAATGGCTTTAGCTGTTAATCGAGAATACTTTTGTTTTCATCATAACGTCATTGAATACCAGTCGCATCGAACCGAGTCCTCAGATTGCCGCGCTAGAGCTTTCGTATTTGGTTTGTGGGGAGGACCTTGACTCTCATAAGTGTGGTATCACTTTCTCGACACCAAAGAGATGACAGGCTTGGTGGCTCCGGGGCAGGGTTGAAGCAGGATCAGGGTGAGTTGGGCTGTACATTTAATAGACGGGATCACTTGCACTGCGTTACCCTCTCGAAAGGTTGCTATCAATACGATGCAAATCAACAAAGGTAGTAAACAAATGTTTTCGCATTCATGAAGACCAGCGGACCAATGTAGTAAATACTTAAGGACGAATTGGTTCGGCTTTCTAAGGATTTCAAGGCGAAAACTCCACACATAGACCTGTGCCATCCAAGGCGTCAAAGTAAGAGTTTGCCAAATCCATTATTTCCCATCTATGATAACATGCCGTAAAACCATTGCTCGACCAGCTCTTCCAACTCCACAACAGCCTCTTTAAAGACCGATCTCTACTCTTGCTTAAAGCCATCAGTCACGTAAAGTCTCTAGTGATCTTTTTAGAGAAGAAACAGAAAAGAAAGGCCGAAAGTGATGCGCTCAATACTGGAGTCCGTATTATTCGCCGTGGAATGTTGAAAACCGCTGAAGGTCTTGAAGTGCGACATTCATAATTACCGTCCGATCTGTTTATTGAGCACTTCTAATAGTATGCTTACAGTGATCTTCCACTCAACGATGACCGGTATACATTGAAATCCAAGCGCTTAGAATGGCAAATTCTTAAGTGGAGATTGAAGAGTGGATCTTGACGAGACATACGGCCATCACCAGCCCTGCTTATTTCCACGTGTTCTTTCAATACGCCTGCGAAAAATGGAAACAAAATACACTTCGTGTATCATCCTAGAATACAGAAATAGGAGTGCTTTCGAAATTCCGCGCCATTTTGCTTTGAGGAAGCTTAGAATGCACCGTGGGCACAATGAATGAGATGCACTACATAGGATGAGCATGCTGTTGACGGCTTCACCAGACGCAAGTGCTCTGGACATTTTCGTGAACGAAATTTTGATATTAGCAATTCGCAATGTTCTGGACGGTAGCCATGACCGAAAACAAGAGAAACTGCCGCTTTGATCGCGAGCAACCGATAAAAATAACTCGAGAGATGGCAGAAACGCTTGGCGTTAACCAATTAAGAAGCGATTACAAAATTGTTTAGAGGTTGATACGCCGTACAGTTGTAAGCTATTAATATCAATGTATGGGTACCGCACAACTTGTTCAAGTATTCATCAATTTGTTCGAAAAGGTTTGACAGCATGAGTTTACGCTCGCGACTTCCTCCTTAAGGGTAAGAAAATCATGATTTCTCTAAGTGGATGATAAGAAGGGATATAAGGAGGTCATGTAACACCACTAAGGAAACTAAATTGCACTGTAAAAGTGGTAAATTCTACTTGACGAAATCATCGTATCACTTATATTTAAAAAAAAACATGCTGTCCAGCTCGCTGAATACGAAGGTGGTTGGTGAAACGCCTGATCCATCCTTCCAGTAACGTCACACTAGCTAAGACCGAATTGGAAGTTTTCAACTAAGAGCCTGGCTTAGAGCAGACCTATCTTACGTTTCTATAAAACTGCCCATCAGCTGCTACCTCACCAAAACCTTTGAAAGAGTAGGTTCACATAGAATGCGTGATGCTCTTCGTGTCCATCTCATCTTTCGGGTGAGCAGACCCCAAAAAGATCTCTAAGGTGTTACCAGGAGAAGTGGAATTTAATGAAGATAGAGTTTACTAAAATCTGTTCGACTAACTCGATAATAAACGAGAAAGAAGGTTGCGGACGATTGACTGATTAGAACAGAAGTGTTGTGCTCCGGTCATCATGACGACGCCGCATCACACGTATCTTCGGCGACTCGGCAGAAATTGTCCGAAGCAGTTATTTTCACAGAAACCCTCCCCCACCCCCACAAAAAGGAAAAAAGAGATGCCAAAAGGCTGGCGAATAAAACGGCCACAGTGTTTAGTTGAATATTTGCACAAACCTACTTCGAATGTAAAGTTTGAAAAAAAAGGAGACGGACTTCTGCACCAACTGAATATTTCACCAAGTAGACCCACTTAGGTCATAAATTCAATCACTGCGAGATATTCCAAATCTTTAGAATAAATGAATTAGTGTAAAAGTAAATAGTAAACCGTCTCCAGCGGCAACCCTTTTGATGGGTACGAAGACCGTTCCGAAGAGAAACGATGCCACAATAACAGCTAGCAATCCAGTCCACATGGTTCTTTTTACGCTAAAAACGGAAGGATTGCAGCATAAATTAGTTTCAAAATGCCGCACATGTCATAATTTGTTTGCGAACGGCAGCATACAGCACTTCAAATATTTCACGGATCTCATTTATATGAGTGATTCGTATCACAGTTTAGTGAAGAGACTACACATCAGTCCACAGCTTGCAGATATGGAGGCATTAAGGCGGACCAAAAGCAAACATGTTCTCTTCATCAGATTTGTGGATGCAAAGGATAGGCCCCTGACTCTGCTACACCAGTGTTAAGTACATCCTACCTAACACATTCATTTTCATACATGTCTGGTGAGGTCAACAGTCGCTTCTATTAAATAAACTCCACATCTATCCCTGAAGATCCTATGAACTAACCCATAATTAACCTCGGTCCCAATAGCAGGACCCAGCAGGAAGCTCTATTATTTAAAAGATTAGAAATAGAGCAATTTACGTGAAAAACTACGACGCAGTTGGTCTTGGTTGAAAGAGCAGTTCATACGACTCTGTAGTTATATGACAGGGATACATGGAGAACTCAACTACGGCAATACAAGTCAGTTGACGGAGGAGGTGTCTCCTAGCAAGAATGGAATAAATCTGCCTTAAAAAGGAAATGGGATAAATTTCGCAAACACGCCATACTGATACGACAAGTGAAGAAGTGAACCGAGGCCGATTATGCTCTATGTCTATCCTACCTGCAGTCAAACCACGAAGAAATATGAAGCAATATGTTCGATGACCACATGAAAACGTTTTAGCTGGCGCTAGTTTGCTTTACGTTTCATGCCATCGCAACCAGTTGCCCGGAAATCAATGTCCGATTTGTAGTTTCATTCCTCTTGAAGATGTTTTAAAAATAGTTTTGTTTTTAAATTGTGCTACTTAAACTATGATACAAACTTTTTTGTGAATTTTAACTTTTAAAATTTTAGGCGTGAAAACATCAAATTCGATAGACATACTAGGAGTATAGATTCGGACGACGTACGTAGTGCAAACGGCACGAAACATTACTGTGGTTAGGGCTAAGAATGTGCTAACGAACGCCGCTTAGTGTAATGTTGGCTTGAATAGGTTCCTTATTTGAAATTTGACCTTTAAGATGAAGGAGGTTGGTGAAGTGCTTCTGCTTTTGACGACGCTGAGCTGAAGGGTTTGGCGAAAGTAAGCATACGCACAGCCGTCTCAAAGCCTGAGGAAGAACTTAGAACAAGCGTCTCACTTCAGAGTGTCTAAAAAGTTGGAAGGTAGAAGAAGCTCATAGAATGGATGCTGCTTGAAGTGGATTAAAATGTTGAAAATCGTTTTTTTAAAACCCTCTCTCTATGTAACTAGACGCGTTTTTCTACAATATCTTGATGTGCAACGAGATGTGAATCCTCTACTACAACCGGCGACGATCGGTTCAGTGGTGTGAGGCTTCGTAGTGACTCCTGAAGCCGAAACTAAAGAAGGCGATACTGACCGTTTAGTGGACTACAGCCGATTGATCCATCACAGCTTCCTGAATCAGCAGCTTATCAAGTGCACCAGATATGTCAATGCCTGAGCCACGGATTGTTCAGCAGAAGTGAACCAATTATTTTCCACGATAACCAGTGGCGACGAATCGTAGAGCCGATGCGTCAAAGGTCGAAAAAGCCGAGCTCCGAAACTCTTACCTCACCAACTACATTCATCAGACCTCTCGTTGACCCACTACACTTCTTCAAGCATTGCGATAAATTTCTGTACGAGAAATGCCTCAGAAACATAGTCAAGGCCTATACTGCCTTCAACGATAGAAATGCAGAACTTTAAGCAACTGGTACAGATAAACTTGTTTCTCATTGGCAAATGTGTTGGTTTCGAATGCCTTCACTTCGGTCAATAAAATTTATTTTGAACCGAGATATGTCACTTTGGAAATACAGGTTGAAATCGGACTTTAGTTACCAGGAAACCCGAGGGAATCGGCTCTTTTAGTTTGCGCGATGCCACTCGCAAAGTTTTCAGCTTATGAATTTCGTCGATTTCCTGATAACAGTTCTCTGGTGTCATAATTGTATCAAGATTCGAGAAATCATAGCGAATGCTTCCATCGATCGTGCACGATAAAGCAACTGTAGAATTCTACCGGTGAAGATTTGCCTTCGGGAGGTGTTCCATACCCGCATATTCCTGCGTAGATTGTCGTTATAACTTATTTTTAGACGAATTCCACAAAGTGACCATGGA